ATTAGCTCTAATTTTAGTTCAGTTCTAACTTCTAATATCTGCCTCCTTGTAATGGTTCCTTTACTAGAGGGAAGAGTTGTCCACTATTTAACTTTTCAATTCCTCTCATTATTTTAAATATCTCATTCAAATCATTCCTTAACCTCCGCTGTTTAAGAAATATACCCCAGCCTACCCAGTCTCTCATCACAGTTACGAAAAAATGCACATAATAATAATCCTTGCATTTGATATAGCTCCTTATCACATCTGAGAAACATCTTAAAGTGCTTCACAGAATATAATGTAAAGTGAATTGACTGTATATTTGTGGGCGAAACGCAGTGGTCAATTGCATACAGCAGCGTCCCACAAACAGTCGTGGATTGAAGTGACCATTTTATTGTTTTTTTTAAAAGAATTATTACCCGTGGAAAAGAGATCCAACAATCGACTAACAACCATGTTCCTAATTCTTGCTAGATAAATAGAGGCATGCGGAGTAAGGAAGCTTGCCCAACATTTTGCCCTGCCGGGAATTGAACCTAGATCTCTCGCTTGCGAGGTGAGTGCGCTAACCACTGAGCTACAGGGCTCCACATGTATGGATACGATTGAAATTCCAGCTTATGTTAGCCTGTAAGATCATATTGTCCTAAAATTTAAGTTTGCAAAGAATAATGGAAAATTCTTAAATTCAGTCTTAATTTGTAGAACAGTTCTTTTTAGAACGGGAGAAAACTTTTTTTCCCCCACAATTTCTACAATTTTGCATAACCTTAAAACAAATAATAAAACCAAATAATCATACAGGCTATGGCTGTAGAAAAATGACAAGTGACATCAACATGACGTCACACTCAAAAGACAGAACCAGAAAAAAACCTAAAAGATAAACCATAATCCAGAGTGAGAGAGAGAGGAGAGAATGGTATGGCAGGTGTTGTGCGATGACTGCAGTACATGGGAGTTGATGGAGGGCAGTCTGACCCTGGGTAACTACATCTGCAGCAAGTGTCTGCAACCGAGGAAGCTCCAGCTTCGAGTAGCTGAGCTGGAATCCGAGGTGCAGACTTTGCGCAGCATTAGGGAAGGTGAGAGCTTCCTGGATAGTTTCATCCAGGAGACAATCACTCCCCTGAGGCTCAGTAAATGTATAGATCCTGATACTAGTCAGGGACAGGACAATGTGACTGACAGTCAGGCAGGTAAGGGGACCCCAGAGAGAGTGGTGGAGAAGCCTCAGGCCTTAACCTTGTCCAACAGGTACGAGGTACTTGCAACCTGTGTGGACAAGGAAGTTGGTAAGGAGGAGGATGGGCAAACTGAGCCCAGCATCTCTTTACAGGAGACCACACAAGTGGGGGGGAAGCAAAACTGAATGTAGTCGTGGTAGGGGATGAGACAGTCAGGCGAACAGACACTCTTCTCTGCAGCCGCAACCAGGAGTCACGAAGGCTCTGTTGCCTTCCTGGCGCCAGGGTTAAGGACGTCTCTTCAGGGCTGGAGAAGAATTTGAAGCAGGAAAGAGATGATCCAATTGTGGTGATCCATATAGGAACCAACAATATAGATAGGACTAATAGTGACGACCTGAGGAGTGAGTTCAATGAACCGAGAATTAAATTAAAAGGAAGAACTTCCAAGGTGATAATCTCCGGATTACTACCTGAGCCATGTGCAAATTGGTACAGGGATAAACAAATTAAAGAGTTAAATACGTGGCTGAAGGAATGGTGCGGGAGGCAGGAGTTTCGTTCTATGGGCCACTGGCACCAGCATTCGGGGAAAAGGGAGGCTGTTCCATCGAGATGAGCTCCACCTCAACCTGGCTGGGACCAATGTCCTGGCAAAATGATTAAATAGGGAGATAGGTAGAGCTTTAAACTATTAAAAGAGGTGTGAGGGAGAGTTACAGCTACAGTTAATCATAACCCGGCATTGCAAGGAACAGTCATGGCTGTAGAGCAGAGTAGCAACTTGGGAGATAAAGTGTGTCAAGTAGGGACAAAAAGCTCAACAAAGGAAATAGGGCATTAACAAGTGGGGGAATAGTAAGAGGTCAAAATTAAAGGCGCTATATCTGAATGCATGAAACATTCGTAACAAGATAAACAAATTAAGTGCACAAATAGGCATAAATGGGTATGATCTAGTGGCTATTACTGAGATGTGGTTACAGCGAGACCAAAGATGGGATCTAAATATTCTGGGGTATTCGACGTATAGGAAAGAAAGGCAATGTGGAAAACGAGGTGGGGGCGTCGCCCTGCTAATGAAGGATGAGATAAAAGCAGTAGAGGAAGGATTTTAAATCAGAAAATCAGGATGTAGAGTCAGTACGGGTGGACGTAAGAAACAACAAGGGACAGAAAACACTAGTGGGAGTAGTTTATAGACCCCCAAACAGCAGTTACAGTATTGCGCAGGGTATTAATCAGGAAATTAGAGGAGCATGTAGCAAGGGGAATACACTAATAGTGAGTGATTTAAATCTTCATATAGACTTGGAAAACCAAATTGGCAAAGATAAATTAGAGGATGAGTTTATAGAATGCATTAGAGGTAGTTTTCTAGAACAGTATGCTGAGGAACCAACCAGGGAACAGGCAATCCTAGATCTTGTTTTGTGTAATGAAATAGGGCTAATCAGCAATCTGGAAGTTTAGGCTCCTCTAGGGCAGAGTGACAATAACATGATGGAATTTAATGTTAAGTTAGAGAGTGATATAGTTGAATCCGAAGCAAGGGTTTTAAATCTGAATAAAGCCAACTTTGCAGGTATGAGAGAAGAATTGGCTGAAATAGACTGGGGAATTAGATTAAAAAATGACGGTAGACCAGCAATGGCAAACGTTTAAAGATATAATACATAATTCCCAGCGCTCACATATTCCCTTGAGAAATAAAAATACCACGGGAAAAGTGGTTCAACCTTGACTAACTTGAGAGGTTAGGGAAAGTATAAAATTCAAAGAAGAGGCCTATAATACTGCCAAAAAGAGCAGTAAACCTGAGGATTGGGAGGACTTTAGAAATCAGCAAAGGAAAACCAAGAAACCGATTAAGAGGGAGAAAATGGAATATGAGAGTAAACTATCTAGGAACGTAAAGACAGATTGTAAGAGTATTTACAAGTACATAAAGAGGAAGAGACTATCAAAGTGAATGTAGGTCCATTGAGGCAGAGACAGGAGAAATTATAATGGGGAATAAAGAAATGGCAGAGTCATTAAACAATTATTTTGCTTCTGTCTTCACGTTAGAGACACTGAAAACTTACCAAAAATAGAGGGGAACATGGAGGCTAATGTTAGTGAGGAACTTAAATAAATGAACATCAGTAAAGTAATAGTACGAGAGAAATTGATAGGATTAAAAACCGATAAATCCCCTGGACCTGATGGACTGCATCCTGGGGTTTTAAAAGAGGTGACTGCAGAGATAGTGGATGTTTTGTTTTTGATCTTCCAAAATTTCCTGGATTCTGGAATGATTCCCAGCGATTGAAAGGTCGCAAACATAACGCCAATATTTAAGAAGGATGGGAGACAAAAAATGGGGAAATATAGATCAGTTAGTCTGACATTGGTGGTAGGAAAAATTCTAGAGTTCTTAATTAGGGGCCTCGTCGTGGGTTACTTAGAAAATCCTAACATGATTAGGCAGAGTCAACATGGCTTTACGAAAGGGAAATCATGTTTAACAAATCTTATAGATTTTTTTGAGGAAGTAACTAGCAGGTTAGATAGGGAGCACCCAGTAGATGTGGTGTATTTGGATTTCCAGAAGGCATTCAACAAGGTGCCACATAAAGGGTTGTTGCATAAGATTAGAGCCCATGGAATTAAAGGCAATATATTAGCATGGATTGGAGAGTGGCTAACAGGAAGAGAACAGAGAGTAGGGATAAACAGGTCCTTCTCAGAATGGCAGGATGTGACTAGTCGAGTGCCACAAGGATCAGTGCTTGGGCCTCAAATATTTACAGTCTATATCAATGATTTAGATGAGGAAATGGAACTTATATCTAAATTCACAGACAATACGAAGATAGGTGGGAGAGTAAGCTGTGAGAATGACACACGAAGAATGCAAAGGGACATGGACAAGCTAGGTGAGTGGGCAAGAAGGTGGCAGATGGAGTATAACGTGGGGAAGTGTGAAGTTATTCACCTAGGTAGTAAAAATAGAAAAGCGGATTATTTTCTAGAGGGGCAGAGTATTAGGTAGTATTAGTGTTCAGAGGGATTTGGGTGTCCTTGTACACCAGTCACAAAAGTTAGTATGCAGCTACAGCAAGCAACTAGGAAGGCTAATGCCATGTTGGGATTCGTTGCAAAAGGGTTAATAATAATAATAATCCTTGCATTTGATATAGCGCTTTTGACGTCTTCTAGACATCTCAAAGCGCTTCACAGAATATGCTGTAAAGTGAATTGACTGTATATTTATGGGCGAAACGTGGCAGCCAATTGCGCACAGCAGTGTCCCACAAACAGTCTTGGATTGAAAATGACCAATTTATTATTGTTTTCTATGATTCTGTGATACACACTGTGTGGAGGGGAGACATTCTTCACTTGTCAGTAAGTTTACCAACCTTGGTAGTGTTTGCTGGCTCTCTGAAAGGGCTCAAGATTGTCAGGTAGAACAGGGCACCGATTTATGGGGGGGGGGGGGGGGGGGGTGGGGGGAGGGGCTGGCGGTGGTAACCCAAAAAGCATAACATTTTCACACGTTTAAATAGACACTCTATAAATTTCCCAATTTCCCATACTCGTAGCCTGTCCCTATTTGCTGAGAATACTGTCCACTCACCTGTCAATTGACCAACAAGCAGAGAATATTCCTCAGGTGGGGAACAACAACAACAACAAGATTTCATTTATAGAGCGCCTTTCACGTCGGGAGGACGTCCCAACGTGCTGGACAGTTGGGTCGGGACCCAAGCAGGGTGGAAATGGTCAGGGGAGGGGTACAGTACATATGGTGGGCAATAAAGCACTGCTTGCTCTTACCTGTTTTTGGAGAAAGGTATCACTGTAGTAGTTGAGTATTGGTTTAACAGCCAGACCTTCTAATGGACGAGATTCATCTAAACTGTAATTTAAATTGACACCAATTGGTGTCAGTTTATCTCGAAATTCCTTTTCATCCTAGGGTAGATCATGAAAAAAGTTTCTACAATTAACACAAATGTACTTGACTTGATTAATACAAAACAAACACAAAATCCCTCCCTCACCCCATTTAAGGCTCGTCTCAAGACTTACTTCTTTGGCTTTTGGTCATATTTCTCCTCCGCTTCCCTCCCCCACCCTCACCAGCTTGGGTGCAAAGCCAAGAGTGTTAAACACTTTGAGATATCCTCCCGACATGAAAGACACTACATAAATGTAAATTTATATTGTATTTTATGTTCCTGCTGTAACTAAAAAAGTTGGGAATGCTCTTGCTTACGAAGAATTGCTGTCAGCATGGGTTTGTGAGGTGTTCCAACCAACGGTATATCTTACAGTGCTAAGTAAAACATAGCATCATTAATGGTGCATGATGGAGGATCTTTTGCTGTGGAAGAGTCCTGTATTTAGGTTCCATATAGCATTTTATATAGGGTCTTTCACATCAGGAGGATGTCTCCAAGCACTTCACAGAACATACTGTAAAACGTATAGACTATGTGTTTTGTACGCTAATGGTTAATGACAACCATTTTTGGCAAAATGGTTTCTCACTCCAGTCTATACAGAAGTGTTTCACCGCCATCATTGAATTTATTACAAAGAGAGAGAGGTTTTCTTTAATCCCAGTTGCTCCAACTGACGTTTATTTAATAGGCTTTATTTTTAGGCCATTATAAAGCAAATCTATATATATATATATATATGCTCCTGAGACAAGATTCAAGTTTCTCCCTATCCTCCTTACAATTCTGCTGTTAACTCATGAAGCAGCACTAAATTCTGCTCGTCTGTTCAGGAATAATGGAGCTTCTAGTTGTTTAAAAAAAGTGGCAATATTGAATCTGTAGAAGCCGTGGGCAAAAGCATTCTCTAGAAGTCATGGGTAGGAAGGAAGAATTGTTAATTCACAAACTTATCATGAAAGGCATTTGTTTATCACCGTAATGAAATTGTTCCTTAGTTCCTTAATTAAGGAACAATGATATATAAGGAACGGACTACGTCTAGGAATACCGCATTCCTATCACCCTACCATCAAATCCTAACTCTCTATAACTTATTCTATTTTGATGCGAATTGATTTCACAGTAAAATAAGATATATAGGGTAGCATTGTTTTATATACTCCTGCTGTATTTGTTACTGAAACCCCTGAATCACAAAGGACTAGTAAAGGATAGAGCTAATTTGCAAGCAATGAATCAATTTCTGTACAAGAAACCCTTAGTATTTACAATACGTAATGCACTGCACACTCTTGACATCTTAGACCCACTCTGATTTACATTAGATATTAATGCAACGCTTAGACTATGGCTTCAATCCAGTCCTCAAAGAATGCTTGCCAACAATCTTATTTATCCTAGCATAGTCCTGGGTTTGTGGAATTTATCTTGTGGCTACATGGTTTTTAAACTAAATGTTTTCTGGAGAAGTATGTCTCTGGATCTATCTGAGCTCCCCTCCTACAACCCAACCAGCACAGAATGTCCTAGGAAAAACATTTGTAACCCTGCCAATTTGTATAAAGCAGAGTAATGGAATCCTTATGGATTGCAGGGCTAATTCTGCAACAAAACAACACGTAACATCAACATGGCACTTGATGATGCCCAGTGTTAGAGGTATGAGCTATGAAGAACAATCAGATAAGTTGGGGCTTTTCAGCCTTGAAAAGAGCTGTTTTAGATGGAAACCAATACAGGTATATAAAATGGCTTTAAAATTGTCTCTGTTGTGGCCTTGTTATTTGGTGGCTTAGAAGTTCAAGGCTTTACTAAATCTCTTTAATTCTATTTCTTGACTTAAGAGTTGTTGGGATGTGGAATGCCATATCAAGATAGAGGCAGAGTCCATTGTGGATTTCGAGAGAGAAAGTGGATGAAAGCTAGAGGCTTGAAGGGTTATAGAGAGAAGGTAGGGCAGTGGGATTGAATGTTCACCTTGCTTTGAGAGCCAGTGCAAAACTTTTCTGTTTCTTTCTTTTAAAAATCTATATGAAATTATTTTCTATTCTCAAACATGTACCTCTTTTCCCTTCTGTTCTACATGCACCATGCATCAACTGCAGCCTTAAGTGATTTGATCCGCAGCCCCCTTCAATGCTTCTCTGAATCCATCAATAGGACAAGAGGTCTACAGGAGTGCTCCAGTGAGAAATCTTTCTCTAAACTGCCCTCTCTGCTAAGGAAGAGACTGTAGCCCAAAGTTGCATCTAGACGTAGCTTGGAAAATCCTTTTGCCTTAAATTTAATGTTGTGCAGAACTGTCAAAAATTCTTACATTTTATTTTAATTTGGAACTTGATTCTTTTAAAGAACTGCAGAAAACCAGCTTCCAAATTAAGCCTGAATTTAAGAATTTTCCATGACTCTGAGCAATCCTACATTTTACAATGGAATAGTCTTATGGCTAAGAGGAGGTGGAATTTGAGACCTTTAGCTTCCACTCTGTGGTTCCCACAATGTTGAGCTTGTGATCCACAGCATTGTTGCATAACAACCGAGGCTTCAAACCCCGATTTCATTACAGATTGCTGACACATCCTGTTGTCACAAAATGCTTCATCTCATGTGGCAACCTAACACTGTGAAAATTTCCATTAGGGCACCACGAATAATACTTTCTATGAATGCTCACTAACATATTTTAAGCTGTTAGTATTTTAGATAGATACACAAATCATAAATATTAAAATTGGTTCATACTGTCCATTTGGCAGTGAATCACTGCACTTTTGGCAGTGATTCTATAACAAATATGCAGTAATAAGTGCATTGAAGCCATGCTTCTGTCAACATGTGGAGGAAGTGTAATGGGATAAGCATGAATGCAATACAAAGAACCAACTTTCAAATTAAAATTGAACGTAAGAATTTTCCACTGGGAGCAGGGACTCATCCTGCTTGGATCCTGTTAACGGGTCTTCTAACTGAATAAGCAGAGGGAAGTTTACCAGAGAGTGCTCACAGTAGCAAGCTATGTTGTTTTGTCTGTTTAAACTCCTGCAGCACTGCAAAGCATACTCTGGGGTCCCCAAGCCTTGTCTCTTGCCAACCTGTGTCTAATAATTTCATGTATTAAGCAAGTAGAATGCATCCTCCAAGGAGAGAGTGGGAACTCCATTCCAGACAAAGGGAAATTGTGTGGGTGGCATACGTATTGGAACTCTTAGTCTGGTACTATAACAACAGCATTTATATAGTATCCTTCATGCAGGACAGCCTCTTGATGGAGTGCTGCGCAATGGCTGAGTTGGACACTGAGCAAGGAAGAAAAGACAGGGAGATGACCATACGTGCAGTTGAAGAGATGGGTCTTAAGGTGAGATTTAAAAGTATTTAAAAGAAATCGAGCCAACTGTCCAGATCCTAAGCCAAGTGAAAACACAGTTCTCTAGGGCACTGCTGATGACAGCTCAGCCAGCCTGGCTTATTTCCAGGACTTGGAAAGACTGGATAAGCAGTGGGAAAGCTTAACAGACAGTGTTTTCAATGGTAAGCTATGCAGTTTTAGCTGGTTAGACTCCACACACAATCCGGGCCCCGCAAGTCTTGGCTCTTGATAACCTGTGCCTAATACTCTATGGAATTAGATAAGCAAGAGTGTGCATTCCATTCCAATAAATATCTCTGAGATTTCATAGAGGTGGGATGCATGGAACTTTGTTTGGTTATTCTTAAACATGAAAAGGGGTTTCCAATGTGTCAGACACCTGCCTGACCAAAATAAAATTGCAGCAGGTGAGAATCATGCTCTCGTCGATGCTTCTTTCAAAGCTCTCAGGTTTTTTCTGTCAGATAGATCAGGCACCAAGAATGGTCTGCTAGAAAGAACAAATGTGTGTGTAAGCTTTTAGTTATGTAAAGGGGTATTCCCATTTCTAGTAACAGTGTATTCATTTAAGAGTTAAGCCTCTATGACCAACAAAGTTATATGAACCATTCATAATTCATCCCAGACTGTTTGAAAATTCAATATTGCAACGAGGGGAGTAAAAAGATAGGTTTGCATAAACTTCTTGTCTTAGAGGATTGTCAGAGTACGGAATAATTTGCCAGGAATGGCTGTTAAAGCAGCAACAACAGCAGCAGGGGCAGAAGCAACAACAACGACTTGCATTTATATTGTGCCCTTCATACAAGTAATGTCTCAGAGGGCTTAACAGTGCTGTGGTTTAACCACACCAAGGGAAGCTGTAAAGAGAGGGAAGGTGATCAAAGGCACAGACAGAGGAAAGTCTTCAGGTGTGATTTTATGATGGGCAAAGATCAATTGGGGGAGAGCAGAGCAATTGGGGGCATTAAAAGAGAACTGGACAAGAACATGCAAAAGAAAGGTATTGGAGACCACAGGGCAAGAGCCGGACTTGGGATGTTTGACTTCTTGGTGGCACAAACACCAACACTAGATTTGTCATGCATTTCTATGGTTCTTTCAGTCATTTAAAATAATAGGGGTAAAAAACACAAACAGATGTAACAATTAATGTCCTCACCTCAGCTTTCCTCCACTACATTCCTTAATTCCCACACTTTACAGCAGATTTTATGAAGGACTTTGAAATGTCTCAACAACGTGATAAGGCCCTATATTAAATGCAAGGATTATTATATTATAAGGAAACAATATACTTACTGTAAGGTAAACAACAAATTCCTTGCACCTGGAATGCTGTGATTTTCCTACGACTAGCTGGAAACTGTGCTGTGGCTGATGGTAATACAAGAAGAGTATTCTCTCAACAACCCCTTTCTTCTTTAGTTTGTCCAAGTGAAGGTCCACATTCAGTACTTGAGATAAGAGAAATTAAGAATGTTAAAAAAAACACTATAGGTCACAGAATGTTTTTGCATTATTTAGTTGTTCAGGTAAGTTTCCATTGAGCAGGAGCAAATCTTCATGATGTTGCTCAAAATAAGTAGAGGATTATTCAGGAGAATGGATATTACAATTAAGCAAAGGGAAAAGACGAGCATTGAGCTGACAAGAGCTGATCTGTGTTTATTACAATACACTACTAATCCCCCAAGAATAAATGAACTAGTTTTGAGGAGGGAAGGGAATGCAAAAAACGAACAGTTAGAAAATGGAGAAAAAAAAGGTGGGGGGGGGGGGGGCGGAGTGCAGAACAGGTCAAGTCGGTCTTGGAGTGCATGTGCCTAAATGCAGAGTTTAGCAAACAAGATTGGTGAGCTGCAGGCTCAAGTGGTCATCGGGGGATACAATGTAGTAGCAGTAACAGAGACTTGGCTCAAGCAAGGACAGGAATGGGAGCTGAATATTCCTGGCTACAATGTATTCAGGAGGGATAGGGAAGGAAAAAAAGGAGGGGGTGTGGCAATGTTAATCAAGGATACAGTTATAATAATAATAATAATAATCCTTGCATTTGATATAGCGCTTTTCACGTTGGGAGGACGTCCCAAAGCGCTTCACAGAACACACTGTAAAGTGAATTGACTGTATATTTATGGGCGAACGCGGCAGCCAATTGCGCACAGCAATGTCCCACAAACAGTCGTAGATTGAAAATGACCAATTTATTATTGTTTTTGGTTTTTGGAGGGATTATTATTAGGCATGTGGAGTAAGGAAACTTGCCCAAGGTTTCGCCCTGACCTGCCTTGGAAAGGGTCAAGGTGCTGGAGGGCCCCAAAATGGAATCTATCTGGTTAGAGTTAAGGAACAAAAAAGGAACTGTTACACTGTTAAGGGTATACTGTAGACCACCAAATAGTGGGAAGGAAATAGATGAGCAGATCTGCAAGCAGATCTCAGATAGATGCAAGGCCAATAGAGTCGTGATAATGAGGGACTTTAATTATCCCAACATAGACTGGCAAAACAACAGCACAAAGGGCAAGGAGGGGGAAAGATACCTAAAATGCATACAGGACAACTTTCTTGATCAGTACATTTCCAGCCCAATAAGGAAGGAAGCAGTGCTAAATCTAGTTCTGGGGAATGAAGTAGGGCAAGTGGAGCAGGTTTCAGTGGGAGAGCATCTGGGCAATAGTGATCATAACATCATTAGATTCAGAGTGCATATAGAAAGAGACAAGGAACCATCTAAGGTGAAGATACTCAATTGGAAGAGGGCAAATTTCAGTGAGTTAAAAAGGGACCTAGCCAAGGTGGACTGGAAAGAAAGATTGGCAGGTAAAATAACTAAAGAACAGTGGGAAGTCTTCAAGGATAAGATAGTTCGGAGACAGAATAAATACATTCCCACAAAAGGGAGAAGTAGGGGTTCCAAACCTCCCTGGATGACGTAGTAAATTGTATCTAGAATGAAGCAGAAAAAGGTGGCGTATGACAGGTGTCAAGCCCAAGATGCAGAAGACAACCAAATAGAATATAAGAAGTGCTCACGCTGCTGAAACCCTGGTTCACGCCTTTGTCACCTCAAGGCTGGACTATGGGAACTCTCTCCTCGCCGGCCTTCCCGCCACCTCCCTCCACAAGCTGCAGGTCATTCAGAACTCTGCAGCTCGTGTACTGTCCCGCACCAGGCTTCGCGATCACATCACTCCCACCCTCGCTCGCCTCCACTGGCTCCCCATCCCCCAGAGGATTGATTTCAAGATCCTCATCCTCACCTACAAGGCCATTCACGGCCTTGCTCCCTCCTACCTCTCCAACCTACTATCCCCCTACCTACCTGCCCGTACCCTCCGTTCCTCTGGCTCCGGTCTGCTCCACGTCCCCCGCCCCAACCGCCCTACTATCGGTGGTCGGGCCTTCAGCCTCTCAGCCCCCAGGCTCTGGAACTCCATCCCCCAGTGCCTTCGCCTTGCTTCCTCCCTTTCCTCCTTCAAGGCCGGTCTCAAAACCTTTCTCTTTGACCGTGCCTTCAGCTCCCCTCTCGACTCTCTTCCTCCTCCTCGCTCCCTCCCTTCCCTCCCCTCACCCTGACCATTTCCCCCTCCTCTCTCCCTCCCTTCCCTCCCCTCACCCTGACCATTTCCCCCCTCCTCGCTCCCTCCCTTCCCTCCCCTCACCCTGACCATTTCCCCCCTGCTCGGGTCATGACCCAACTGTGCAGCGCCTTGGGACGTCCTCCTGACGTGAAAGGCGCTCTATAAATGGAATCTTGTTGTTGTTGTTGTTGTTGTTGTTGCAGAGGAGGTTTAAAAAAGGAAATAAGAGGGGCAAAAAGATTATACGAAAAAAGGTTAGCGGGTAACATTAAAGGGAATTCTAAAATATTTTACAAGCATATCAAGAATTAAAGGCTAGTCAAAGGTAGGGTGGGGCCAATTAAGGACCAAGGGGGAAATCTTATTGTGGAGGCAGAGAGCATGGCTGATGTGCTGAATGAATACTTTGCTTCTGTCTTCACAAAAGAAGTGGATGCACCAAATGCCGCAGTATCGTTGGAGAGGGTAGAGAAAATGGATAGGAAAAGTATAAACAGAGAGGAAGTACTGAAAAGGTTGACTGCGCTGAAGGTAGATAAGTCGCCCGGTCCGGATGGGATGCAGCCAAGGTTACTATGGGAGGCACGGGTACAAATAGCAGAAGCTTTGGCTACAATTTTTCAATCTTTGTTGGACACAGGGGTGGTGCCAGAGGACTGGAGAGTGGCTAATGTTACTCCCCTGTACAAAAAGGGACAGAAGGATAAACCTGGGAACGACAGGCCAGTTAGCCTAACGTCATTAGTGGGGAAACTCCTGGAGAATATAATCTGGGACAGAATAAATTTTCACCAAGAAGAATATGGGTTAAGTAGGGACAGCCAACATGGATTTGTTAAAGGCAAATCTTGTCTAACAAATCTTATAGAATTTTTTGATGAGGTAACAGAGAGGGTGGATAAAGGTAGTGCAGTTGATGTAGTTTATATGGACTTTAAAAAGGCATTTGACAAAGTGCCACATGAAAGACGTGTAAGAAAGATAGAAACCCATGGTATAAAAGGGACAGTGGCAGTATGGATCCAGAACTGGCTGGGAGACAGAAAGCAGAGAGTTGTGGTGAACGGCTGCTTTTCTGACTGGAGGGAAGTGTACAGTGGTGTCTCCCAGGAATCGGTATTAAGCTCTTCTTAACATACATAAATGATCTGGACTTGGGTATAGCAAGCACCATTTCCAAGTTTGCGGATGACACAAAGTTAGGTAGGGTGGTAAACAGTGAGAAGGATAGTAGCCAACTGCAGGAAGACATAGACAGAGTGGTAAAGTGGGCAGACACATGGCAGATGAGCTTCAATGTGGAGAAATGCGAGGTAATGCATTTTAGTAGAAAGAATGAGGGGAGGCAATATAGGCTGGTAATACAATCTTAAGGGGGGTAAAAGAACAGAGAGACTTGGGGGTGCAGGTAAATGAATCCTTGAAGGTGGCAGGACAGGTAGATAAAGATGTAAAAGGGGCATATGGGATACTAGGCTTTATAAATAGGGGCATAGAGTACAAGAGTCAGGAGGTTATGATTAACCTATATAAAACACTGGTTAGGCCTCAGTTGGAATACTGCGCCCAGTACTGGGCACCACACTATAGGAAGGATGTTAAGGCATTGGAAAGGGTGCAGAGGAGATTTACGAGGATGGTACCAGGAATGAGGGACCTTGATTATGAGGAAAGGCTGGAGAGCTTAGGATTATTTTCATTGGAGCAGAGAAGGTTACGAGGAGACCTAACAGAGGTCTTCAAAATCATGAGAGGATTGGATCGGTTAGAAAGGGAAAAACTGTTTCCACTGGTGGGTCTGTCGGTGACTCAAGGTCACAGATTCAAAATAATCTCCAAAAGAAGCAGAGGGGAGGTGAGAAGAATTTTTTTCACGCAGCGAGTTGTTCGAATCTGGACCGCATTGCCTGAAAGGGTGATCGGACCAATTCGATAACTACTTCTAAAAATGTGGTGGATGGGTATTTGAAGAGGACGGTTTGCAGGGTTATGGAGAAATGGCTGGGGAGTGGGATTGACATTAATTGCTCTATTCAAAGAGCCGGCACAAACTCGATGGGCCGAATGGCCTCTTTTTGTGCTGTACGATTCTATGGAAAATGGGTTCAATTATCTTCACTATTGTGTTAGCCTTTCACCTGATGACAGAGACTGTTAACTGACAAGGCAAATCCACACATTTTTTCTGCAGGCAGTATATAACTCAAGAAGTGGGTGAAGAATATACAAGAACACAGAAACTAATATACTCTTAATAAAAAGTGCTTAGGGACTGAATATCGGAATCGCTGTCCCGCTATTCCAGTTCTTAAACTAGGCGAGTCCACAGTACTCCAAGGAATGTTGATGACAGACCAGCCAACCCATCTCATCAGCAAGATTTGGAAGGGCAGACCAGGGACTCTTGTAAATCAGCTCATATTAATCCTACAAGCCAAAGCCTTAACAGTGAGCTGTAGATAAGCAGCAGGAAGTTTACCAGATAGTGTTTTCAATGGCAAGGTCTGTGGTTTTAGCTGGTTAAACTCTAGTAGTATCTCAACACTTACCCTGTGATCCTCAAGCCATGGCTGTCGCCAACCTGTGCCTGATAGACTTTGGAATTTGGGTAAGGAGAGTACGTCCCTCCAGATAGAGAGCGCTCAATTCTATTCCAGGGAAAGACCCATGTGTAGGTTGCATACATGTGTATGAACTTGCAGTTTAGTTTAGATACTCTTTAGCTACCCATTATGTTGATGGGTTTCCACATACGTCATAGCTGACCAAAAAATGGTGTGGGAAAATACCAAAATACGAAGGATGAGTGATTATCAAGCTGTTACTTGCGACTGCTTTCCACCAGATGTCTTTTAGGTCTTTATGAGATAAAAAGAATCCTTCTGCTCACCTACTATGTATGGGATAGCATGTCCAGATATAGTTGCACAAACTTCTACAGTGAAACTGTAAAGAGAGAGAATAAAGATCAATGTACATTTTTCTTCACATAATAATAGCAAATACACAATAGGCTGCAAATTCCACATAATCTTAGCTTATTAAAAAATGTCACCTTAAAATTGTGCCCAGAACTGTGGCAAACTCTTCAATTTATTCTTCCTTTGGAAGCTGTTTTTAAGAAATGTAGAAAATCAACTTTCAAATTAACAAGAGCAAATTTAAGAGTTTGACATAATGAGCCTCATTTGATTCAGCACCTGTAACAGCCACAAAACATCTCAAAGTACTTCACAAGATTTTTGCTGTAAAGTGTAGTTAATGTGCATTTGTAGGCATTTGCAGCAGCCAGTTTGTACAGAGTATTCCCACAAACAGCCATAAAGCTTTCATCTGGGGGAATGCTGAGGAGGATACTGGGGGAAACTCTCTTCCTTTTTTCAATTAATGCATTAGATTTTTGACATCTACCTCAACAAAACTTTGTTATAATGTCATCCAAAGGATGGAAACTCCAACAATACAAGGGCCGACAACACTGTAGCATTTCCTGCATTAGATTCTGAACTCAAACTCTCCACCTGGGGCTTAAACTGATGACCTTTTGACTCAGTGGTAAGAGTGCAGCCAAGTGAGCCAGACTGTTACTGGATAACCACGACAACAAAATTACATTTGTAAAGAGCCAGGAGGACGTCCCAAGGCGCTGGACAGACAGAGTTCCGGACCCGAGCTGGGGGATGGGTCGGAGAGGGTGGAGGGCAAGTGGGGAAGCAGGGAGATCTAAAGCATGGTCGAAGAGAAGGATCGTGAGATGGGTCTTGAAGGTGGCAAGGGAGGGGGCGAGGCAGGGGGACTGTGGGATGGAGTTCCAGAAGGTGGGGGCTAATAATAGGACGAGCGAGGCGGGGGACGTGAAGCAGGCCGGAGCCCGCTGATAAGTTGATCAGAGCTAAAAACACTGATCTGGATAATGAGGAACATGGATTATTATTTTGAAAAGTGTAGAATAAGTGAGGGGAAATGAAAGCGAGTTGCATACCGTTCGTTTTTACAAAAGTAATTTCCAGATTTTAAAATGCTCATTTTGTGACTTGAGGCTTGAACTCACAACCTTCTGCCTCAGAGGCAACAGTGCTCCCGACTGAGCTGGGTTATTAAGAGCAAATTTAGGAGTTTTCCGTGGGTCGAAGGGCTCTTAAATTTGAAGACAAAATGGTTTTGCAGACTAAGACTAGGTGGAATTTCAGGCATGTAGCCAGCCTGCTGTGATACGCATCAGTTTGCTCAGTAAGTTCTCAGGACAGAAAGCTATATACCTACAGTTGATGAAGTCTCTGGGAGTCTGAAAATATACAGTAAACATCGAAAAACAGTTGGCAATATGTTCACAGAGTATGAAAAAGTAATCAGTGCAAGAGGCAATGTTGCCTTGGTTAACATAACTGCTTTCTGTTGACTGCAATGCACTATGCCTCATTTAAGTCAGGGGAATATTAAAATCAATTCTATCTGCTTCAGTGAAGTTCATGGCAGATCCCAAGCATTCCGCAGAATTACACGTTCGTCCATGTGCTTGTTGACTTGGACCATAGCCCTCCACCCTCCTCCACCTACATACACACACACTCACTAGTAGGTCTAATGTACTTTGATCACTACAAATCTTTTTTGTTACGTCTTTATGATGGAAACTCCTGTTGCGTAGGTATAGCAGAAATGATCATTTCCAATTAATCAAATGCCACCTAATCTTAGCTAAACAGACTATTTTGCTTAAAATTTAAGATTGTGCAGATATATGGGGACTGAAAGGATTGCTCTTTAAAAGAGCCAGCATAGACACAATAGGCCAAATGGCCTTCTCCTGTGCTAGGAATATCTACAGTTTTAGCTGTGGAAAATTTATCTATTCCAAATTCATTTGGAAGTCAGCTTTGTGCAGATCTTAAAAGGAACCGGCTTTCAAAGGAAGACTGAATTGAAGAATTTTCCACAATTCTGTACCACCTTACAAATTAAGACAAAATGGTCTTATTGTCTAAAACTAGGTGGAATTTTAGGCCATAAATTCATTATAATCTACTTTGTCTCAATGTCTAACCTCTGCATTCTTGGAGGTGCCAGCCTTTACATAAGATTTGCAACTGAAATCCCATTTGTCATTTATGTGAACATTAAAAATCCACTCTTAAAATTTAAACACTACTGTATTTCACAGAATTCATTCTCATTACTGTTTGTAGGATGTTCCCTCAGCAGATTAACCCACCCCGCCCCAACGGCAGTGTTATTAGACTCTAAGGCTGACTAATAAAGCTAATACTTCATGAATTGGGAATAGAGAAAATTGGTCCTTCACTTCATGGCTGCTTGGGAGGCATTCCTGTGTGCAAAATTGGCTGCGAGTTCACCCACAAAACACACAGTCACTCCACGTCATAGTATATCATGTGAAGCCCTTTACAATGCCCTCCTAACATGAAAGGAGCTATATCAAATGTAAGGATTATTATTATCAATCATAGAATAGTGGAATCATACAATGTTACAGCAAAGAAATAATAATCCTTGCATTTGATATAGTTAGCCTTATCATGCTATTGAGATGTCTCAAAGTGCTTTACAGAATATACTGTAAAGTGAATTGACTGCATATTTATTGGGTGAAATAGGCCATTTAGCCCAGCAGGCTACATGGTGCTTCTCACAATCTAATCTCACTCTCACTCTTCTGCTCACTCTCTACACCTTTCAATATTCTTCATCTATCTGATCCATTTGAAAGGCACTTTCTAAAACCTGTACTTGTGTGCATACGCATTTATTCCTAACCAGCAATGTAACATACGTATACAAAGAATTGATTTCAATAAATATTCATAGAGCAAACATATTATGAAATGAAAGACTAAATGATACAGAGAGACTGATTGATAAATATCCTGTAAAATGTCAGCCTAAACGCAGCTTCCGTACTTGGCAAAATCAGATAGAAATTATTCCCTTTGGTATAACCTCTAATCTGACCCATCGTGACCTATTCTCTTGTGTCAGATATACTACAATTTTCCGCAGCTGGAACCCACACACAGTGTGTCTACATTGACTTGTGACGCTCGTCAATCATTTGCTTTTAGAAGAACCGGTTTCCATTTACAAAGGTTTAAGGTACTCGAGGGCCTATTCACAGCATTTAGCCGGGTTTCCCCTGTGGCAATTATCAGCACTGACCCAAGTCAGTGCACGTCAGAAGTCAGGATAGCTCTGACCAATGTTAATCACAGTCTGACTATTAATGCAACTCAGAAAACTGTACATGTGAAATCAGTAATGATCTCAATGGGACCCCTTTAGGGGATTATTTCAGTCTGGGTCCAATTCAAACACAAAGTGAGCACACCCCAGTGTAACTGGGACACTTTTCATAATCCAATTACAATTAAGATTTTATAGAGCCTTTCATGATTGGTGAACATCGCAAAGATCATCACAGCTGACTGGGAATGCCAGGCGGGGTGGGGGGTGACGCTGAGGATTGGTTTTAAGCTAAGACTTAAGATAGATAGAGAGTGGTGAGAAGGAGAGATAGATGAAGGTTACTGGTATACAACTGGAAAGTTTAGCCATCAACAGTGGCTGTGAAGAGGTAGGGGATACCCAGCAAGCTTGAGTTAGCCGAGTGGAGGTGGCAAGCAGAGGAGAAGGATAGGAAATGATCAAAGAGATGGAAATGTGCCTGGATATTGAGCGAATTACAGGTAAGAGTAAGCACCTTAAAATTGGTATGATGGGAGGCAAGGAACCAATGGAACCTGGTGAGGACTGGGGGGATGAATGTGCTGAATTTGGAGGGAGTGAGAATGCAGGCGGTGGAGTTTTTGACTAGTTGGGGGTTTATTGATGGTGATGCTAAGGAGAGCTATGAGGAATGTATATGTAAAGTTATGGCAGGGGCTAACAAAGACATGAAGAAGGGTATTGGAGCATTTGGTGAAATGGGGGTGGAGGTGGGCAATGTGGCAAAGGGGAAGAAGAGTCTTGTTCTCAGACTGAATGGGAGGGAGAAAAGAAAGCTAAAGGTTAAACTGGATGCCAAGGCTGTGCACTGGTTTGGTGAGTTTGAGAGAGAGGTCAGGGAAATTAGAGAGATACGAGCCAGAAATGAAAAGGTGTTGGTGAAAGCCAATCAGGATGGCTTCCATCTAATCCATATTGAGTTGCAAGAAATTGTGGTTCATCCAGGACTTGATGTCTGACAGACAGGCAGACAGGATCCGAGTAGAAGTGTAGAAAATCCACACAGATTATCAAATTCACATATACTGAGTCCAAGTCAAACCTTCAGATCTCAGCGCCAATAAAGTGTGAGACATACAATGGAATTATCTGGGTGAACTAGTCTTATCTCGTTTTGGTCAGAACATTTGTGAATTGTTTTGGTAATTCAATTTGATTTTGTCTTGCATCTCACTTGTAATAAAGCAATTTCAAACCAAGTTCATCCATATTTCTGCCTAGTTCCCAAATGCACCCAACAAAGCTTGTTGCCCGTGACGAATGTCAGTGCTTTCCACTTTCATGGTTAGCATTCAGCTCACTTCTACCCCAGAGAAACCCCTACGGCCAACCCTTCTAGCCCAGCATACCATCAACAGAATTCCTTCTGCCGATTCCACAAATCCCAAAATGCACATCAACAGGCAGAAGGCCCCTGGCAGTCCCAGAAATGCTGTAATTTATCCCAGAAGATCAGAAAAGCATTCTCTGTAGCCGATTTTCTTCCTAATCATTTTCATGTGTTCCAGAGTGCCTGGCCCGAACAAAGCACATCAGCTCCTATTCTAAATGGGATTAACTAATAAACCATACATTCACATTAATTTCTAGAGTGAATTCTCTGCATGGTTAACTCTGTAGACCAGATTATAATGCAATTTCCATCCTTTGCTTGTGAATAATTTGTTATCTTCAAATCAGATTTAAAGAAGCAGAATAATAACACATTGACTGTTGTAGACCCACAAGCATCACAAGTTTCTCTGGGTCCTCATCTAAATCCTTCACATAAATTGGCCATTCACCTCATGCCTGTTTGTACAACCTTGCTGGGCTGCTGCATTTGCCTAAAATACACCAACATTGCATTTGAGAGCAATTACATGCAAAGCAGTTTTTTTTAATGTGATGGTTGCTACATTAGACACAAGTAATATTTATTAAATATCTTATGTAAATTCTACAGCAGATCGCAATCAGCATATTATAGCCCAGATGGTGTTTAAATTCAATTTTTGACCTTAAACAGGTTGATGAAGGTCATTTTCTAAATTATCAACACTGCTAGGTCAAGTGTCAAATGGCAGCACAAATCGTAGGGTTTTGGTGTCAGAAGGGCAATATCTTCCCTCTGTCATCATTGTTTGCTCACCATGACACTAAGGACTCCGATTCCGGCAGAATGCAGCTTTTATTCTCAGGGTTTATGATGGAAGGGTTCAATTGTAGTTGAGCGTGTACAGTCACAACAGGCCTGGCTCTGCAAATAAAGAATAAACACTTCACAGTTTGTAGACAAATGTTCATACTCTCATGTTCACATGTTGATAAGAAAAAGATGCAGAATATGCATTGGCACCAGCACTGCACACCAGCAAATGAGGCAGGACTGTAAAAAGACTAGACCAGAGGACCATTGCAGTCTGTCTAGCCATCCCATCTCTAAATGCCATTTCTCCTCTCATGCCTCTCCTCCATCCCAACAGTATCACTACTTTAAAAATCTTATTCTGTGACTTTTATCATATGTTTTATCATTACCCTGATAAAATTAGTAAAGATGCTTGGAACAAGCCTGGAAAACTCTTACAGTTTTGCACCCTCTCCTAATAATTGTTGTTGAGGTTAATTTAGCCAATTGTTTGATATTTCTCACATTGTTCTAAATGACGACGTCAGTGAACAACAACAACTTACATTTACCTAACACCTTTTACAGCTGGTGGATGTACAGAGCGATTCACACACAACTGACTGGGAAGCCAAGCTTTTTTTGGGGGTGGAGGGGCGGGGGAGGAACAGCTATTCTGTTTTTTTTGTTTAATAAAAGGTTACCATCCTGTTAATCAACAGATGAAAGTCGTCAGCTGAAAGTTCACAAAGACCTGGCTCATGGATGTAACCATTCAGAATGATGTTGGGAATGAAGCTGTGTGGTGTGAGAGTAAAATTGTCTATAATAATAATAATCCTTGCATTTGATATAGCGCTTTTCACGTCTTCTAGACGTCCCAAAGCGCTTCACAGAATACACCGTAAAGTGAATTGGCTGTATATTTGTGGGCAAAATATTTGTCTATAACACCTGAGGGGGAAAAAAAGGAAAATTACTGCAGATGTTGGAAATCTGAAGTAAAAACCAAAGTTGCTGGAAACATTCAGCAGTCAGGCAACATCTATGGATGACCTTTCGTTCTGATGAAAGTTCATCGACCTGAAATGTTAATTCATTTTTCTCTCTCCATAAATGCTGCCTGACCTGTTCCCAGCGACTGAGTATTCCCAGCGAGTTTGTTTTTATTTATAGCGCATAAGGGTCCATTTAATACATTAACAATTGATTGAATTCCAAAAGTAACTCCATTATATCCTATTTACTTTATTTGCTCTGTACATTCTTTCGCATTGTTTTATTGGGCAATAACGAACAAAAATTCATGTGGCTATCTAAGTTTTTCCTGCAACAGATTGTTTCATCCAATAGCAAAATCAAATATGAAAACACAGATTATTTTTATAGGACACCCCAATAGTTTTGCAAGTAAAGGATCAACAAGGTAACACTGAGCCACAGAGACCACAGTTCTCAGGTTCAAAAAACAATCTGTGCTGAATTTCCTAATTTCAGCAGGGCAGCATTTTGAGTGCTACAGTTGGTCTTAAAATCCATGGATTACTGAGGGGAAAGAGCAGACAAGGTTCATGCTCTAGATGGCTCTATTTAGTGTTTAAACAAGTGTATATGTGGATGTTGGCTGAGAACAGGATGAGGCTAGGCTTTCTTGCTTCCCACACTCAAACAATTCAGTGACACGCACTGCTCACACAAAGAATGAGCACTTGGATGAAGTACCAGAGGGTGCCCTGTGTCCACAGTGCTATACGCTAGCAAAGAGTTAGCATCTTAGTAGAAGAAAATTGGTAATCCTGATATCTTGATGATTATTTTCAATAGATCCTCTCTCGTCTCACTGAAATGTAACATAAATAACATACATTACAAAGGTTTGAAATATCCATACATTGAACGGATGTTTATATAGAGGTGAAACTTCCCTCCACCTCTCTGTAATAGCCAACAGAGAGCACATATTGACTTAATACCGACATGTCCTCAATCAGAGCAATATAGCCATTCATTATTTTTGCCACTTACCTATAAACAACAACTTTACTAGCTCCAAAGGCACCAACTATCAAATCTGTAATAATAAAGACATAAATATTAGAGTATTGTGAACAGTTGTGGGCACCCCATACAGTAAGGATATCAAAACGATTGAACAGATGCAATGTAGATTCATTAACTAAGATTTTACCAGCTCGAGGGGTTTCAGTTATGAAAAGTTACTTGAAAAGTTAGGACTTTTATCACAAGAGCTGAGGCTATTTAGAGCTGATCTCAATTAAGGTCTTTGAAACTATGAATGTTTAGCATTGGGTTATCTCCACTGCCCGACAAGTCAGTAATGAGAAGGCACAAATTTAAGATAATCACAAAGGGAATTAAACGGGAAGCTACAAAAACAATTTTAGGCATATGGAATGTGAAATTGTTGAGGTAGTCCATTCATTCTTTTCAAAAGGAATTAGTTAGCTTCTTGAAGAGGATGATTATTAAAGGGTATGGAGAAAAAGCAGGAGAGTGGGGCTACATTATTTTTTGGTCAGCCAGGTTTCTGACACATGCGGAAACCCATCACCATGCTTAAGAGTATCCAAATCAAACTGAGAATTCCATGCATCCCACCAACACATGGAAATTCCAGAGATAGATTGTTTGAATGGAATGTGTACGCTCCCCCTAGAAGGATGCATCCTGCTTACCTAATTCCGAAAAGTATTAGGTGCAGGTTGGCAAGAGCCAAGACTTGGAGGCCCCACAGTTTGCGTTAGGTTACTGCTGGAATCTAACCAGCTAATACCACACAACTTCCCATTGATATTGCTGTCTGTCAAGTTTTCTCACTGCTTATCCTACCTGTTAGGGCTTTGGCTTGCAAGGCTAATAGGAGCTGAGTGGGATGACTCACTGGCCCCAGTGACAGGTCTGCCCTTCCAGGTCTTACCAATGAGCGAGGCTCGCTATGCTGTCGTCAGAAGTTCTTGGAGTACTGCGGAGCCACTTGGCTCAGGAACTGGAGGGCTGGCTCGATTCCGACATTCCGTTGCCAAGCATGTCATCTCAGAGCCAGTTCAGTTCCAGGGAGACTCTGCTTGCATCCCCAAGGAGGATAGTCACTAGTTGGTCATTTGACATCCAACAAACGTGGGTTTGAGCGCTCACTAGGTGAATGGTAGGTACCAGGAACTTCCTGTGAAATTTCTGAAGGCAGATGTCTGTCAGATAGCTGATGAGGAAACTGTGAGGCTTCTCCACAGATGTGTCTGACCCATTTCTGTACTGTAATCTATGATTTTTCTGGTGTGCAGCACAATTAAACATCTAATGCTTTTCTCAAAATATTCACACCCTTTCAGTAGCACTGTCCTATTCCTGTGTATTGGAATGTGCGTCCCTCTAGGGAGACTGTGTACATTCCATTCCAATACACGAGAATTTCCATGTGTAGATGCGATACAGCTTTGTTTGGATACTCTTGGGCATGGCGATGGGTTTCTGTGTATATCAGTCATATGGCAGACCACAAAAAAAGTGATGTTTTCTCAAAACATTCACACTCTTTTGTCTTCCACAAGCAGTGTCCTATTTCAGTGTAAATTGGAAAAATTCCTCCATTTCCTTCAGTCAATGTAAAATAGAGACAATTTGTCTCTCTTTGTACAAACCGAGGATCAAATTGGAGATTATGTGGCTACTCGTTTAGTGCCACACTATGCACAGAGAAAAATACATAGATAATTTATTGAATTCAAGCATTCACTATATAATCTCAAGGCACCAACATGAATTTCAAATGGGAAATTTTGGTGCCCATAAAGGAGACTGTCTGCCTGAAGTATAGTGAGAAGCTTATTATCCAGGAATTTGCAAAGTAACATTCAGTTATGAAACTGAGAAGCAATTCTTTTACATAACAGACTACAATCTATTTAGCAGGGACGTTCTTTCAACTCTCCTTTAACAGGATTAGATTTGGCTAATTTAATTCCAGAGAGGCAAATCTGAGTCTCACATCTGTTATTCAGTTACAATGTCATGGAAATCAGCTAACAATAAACTAAAACAATTAAACAGAATTTCCCAAGGCGTTAAAAGGATTAGTCATATTAAGTGGGACTTTGGGGAGAGAAGGGAAAGAGAGGGAGAAAATACAGCATACCTAATTTGGATACTGTACTCAGTTACTAATAGCGATGTCTGTAAAAGTAATCTATTTGCTTTAAGACTGAGCACAATCTCATCTTTCTATTCCACAATAAATTGATTTCTAACCCCAAAACTCAGATCTGACTTCTGTTATAAATAGAATGCAACTTGCTCTGAATTAAGATCAAAAGATCTGAAGCCTTCAATGTTGCTTACAGCTTGCGTTGCCATTTTAACCAATGAATATAGACTCCAGTCACTCCAGTCAAATATAAAAACAGCATACCTTGCTTAAAATTATGTCCTGGTTGTTTGTGGAACATCGCTGTGTGCAAATTGACTGATATGTTCGCCTAAAAAATACGTAGTACTGCACTAAACAGTAAACGCTGGAAAGTGCATCGATACATACTCCTGACATGGAAAAGCGCCATATCAAATACAAGGATTATTAACTTTCTTCCTCAAGTCTTGATCTTTGAAAACTAAACAGTTAAATGTAAATCTTAATATCTCACCAAACCAGAGTATTTTTGTTGATATGCGTTACTGCACTCTCTCATATGGAATGTATAACTGCCATCTCATTATGTATATTGTTTATGTAATGCTTATTTTACATTATTATGTCAGGTTGTTGCCACTTTCCGCCCTCGTCTCCTTTCTTCTCTTGTGAAGATGCCGAAATCTCAGCATACCTTGATTAGTGTACAGAAAGCAAACTAACTGAAACTGTTGCTGAAGCTCTGCACTTCCAACTGGTAGAAACATTGCTCAGTGCATAGGGATGTGTGTCTGAGCAAGGGGATAGTGCCAACGCTCTCACACATTTTTGCTGAGTTGTGCTGCTCACGAGGAAACTCACAGGTACCTGCTATCTATCCAGTGAGAACTTAAACATGTCAGATGTCAAATGATGGGGCCATTTACTGAGGTAGGGCTTCCTCCCACTCAGCTCCTTTTAACCCTGCAAGCCAAAGGCCCTAACGGGTAGGGTGATCCTAGCTGGACAATTGGGAAGCTTGCCAGGCAGATCTTTTGGCAAGCACTACAGTTTTAGCTGGTTAAACTCCTAGTACATAGTCTTGAATCTCCAAGCCTTGGCTTTTGCACCTAATACTCTCTGGAATTAGGTAAGTAGGATACGTCCATCTGAAGAGAAAGTGTGCATTCCATTCCAGATGTGAAAATTTCCAAGTGTAGATGGCATAAGTAGAATTTTCAGTTTGGTTTGAATACTCTTAAACATGATGGGATGGGTGTCTGCATGTGTCAGGCCCTGGCTGACCAAAAGAAAGCCAAATGAACGAATAGTGACAGTCCTCTAAGGGTGGGGAGGAGTGGGAGGGGCATAGCAAGTGGAGCCTCCTTGGAGTTAACTGGCTCCAAAGGAATGTGCTTGGTCATAGAATGTCAGACCCAAATCAATCCTTCCTGTGTGGCAGTTTTGGTAATCCAGTTCCTGAATCAGGGGGATCTGCAATACTGCAGGGCACTGTTGATGACAGGACTGCTAGCCTTGCTCAGTTGCAAGAGCAGTCCCATCACTGTGGGTAGGGATTCTTCCCATTTGGTGGCTGTAACCCCTACAAGTCAAAGTCCTAAGTGGAACAGTGGCCTAAGGCTCGAATACAGAAAATCCCTCCTTTTCGGCCTCGCCAATTCTTCCCTCCACAAGCTGCAGATCATCCAGAACTCTGTAGCTCGTGTCCTCTCCTGCACCAGGCTTGGTGACCCCATCACCCCGACCCTTGTCGGTTCGACTGGCTTCCCATCCCTCAGAGGATAGAGTTGAAAATCTTCGTACTCACTTTCAAGGCCCTCCAAGACCTTGTTCCCTCCTACCTCTCTGACCTGTTAACCCTGTATCAATCTGTCCACTCCCTCCATTCAGCAGGCTCTGCTCCATGTCTCCCGCCCGACCCATTCTATTATCGGTGGCCAGGCTTTCAGCCTCACTGCCCCCACTTTTTGGAACTCCATCCCACAATCCCTTTGCCTTACTCCCTCCTTTGTCTCCTTCAAGAGACGACTCAAGACCCTCCTTTTCGACCGTGCCCTCAGTCGCCCTCCCACCTCTCTGCCGTCTCTCATCCCAACCCTGCCCCTATGCTTGGGACCTGATCCCTGACTGTTCATCACCTTGGGACATCCTCCTGACATGAAAGGCACTTTACAAATGTAATTTTCATTGTTGTTGGCTGGAAAAGCAGTGAGCAGGTTACCAGACAAGGGTTTTAGGTGAGATTTTAGATGGGAGGAGGTGACCATAGGTGCAATTGAAGCATAGGTTTTAAATGTTAGGAGTGAGTAAGAAATGTGAGGAGAAATTTGCAATTAGGACTGATCTTTGCAATTAAGAGTAAGAGAGATTGCAAAATTGCAAAGCTACTTAATTTTAAGCATAAGTTTTTTTTAGAGTGAAAAAACATCAAAAGGTTAATAGTTTTAAACAGAAGTGAATGGCTGTGTGTGTGTGTGTGCGCACGTGCGGCAGAGGCAAGCACCATATCCTGCCAATTTGTGCCAGAATCACAACTGTTTGAATTTATTTGACTTTCAGATGCCATTCACAAATAGGTTTTACCAGTACAAGTAAAATAATCATTTTGCCAACCTTATAATAACGCTGGACCTTAGAAGGCAATTCAGCTGCCATTAATTCAGTCCTGTTCTCACTCTTTCTGGATATTGTATGTTTGGACAATTCTTGTGAATTCAGTGAGAGTGCTAGTGAAAGCACAAGCTTGGATTTCCCAGCTCTCTCTCACCCAGCAAAATCTGTTTGAACTGAAATCCGATGCCAAGGGTGCAACATTACCCTTAATTAGGTTTGTTAAAAAAGACAGATGTCAGTGTGGAGCAAGCCCCAGCTAATTGTTGGCAACCCATTATGTTTCTCGTGGTGTGTTAATTTCTGATCAGCAAGAGTAACCCACAATTGCTGTAACTACAAACAATGACCGATTAGAATATTAATCCCTGCATTTGATATAGTGCCTTTCACATCAGAAGGACATTTGAAAGCAATTCACAGGATTTTATTGTAAAGTGCAGTGGCTGTATATTTTATAGACAATTATATTCATATGTTTAAAATGTAATCGGGGTGGTGTAGGTGGGTTGATATACATTAGTATATTATTGGAGTCAAGGAATATACAGTGAGATTGCTTTGAGATGGCCTCTCGGCAGGAAAGGCGCTATATAAATGTAAATTGTATTGTAAGTGCAGATGTGCGTTTACAACAACAAATTCCCATCGGAAGTGCATGTTGTCAAAGTCACTGCTTTTAAGTTATGTTATCAATCTTGGGCCAGTTTGCCACACCAAAAGGGAGGTGCTGACAGTTCAATGCTGTACTTTGGACAATGCAGCCTTGTTTAGCTCCACATTTCCAGGGAGGACAGAAACTAAAACACATCAATTCAAAAGTACTTACATCAGGACGCACTTCACTGAGAAACAATTAAAAGGCTTTGAATACAACTGAAAGGACTCGGTGATATCTGTGATTGACCAGTGCATTTCCTGTGACTAACAGCAGCTCTTTCAACAGAGAACAATAGTAAATGTCGTCCTTGCTATTTCATGCATGGATATCCACAGCTGCCTGACAGTGTCTAGCATTGTGCATTAGCTCTGTTGAACCTAAATAACTTATAAAAGCAGCACGCTAAATAAAAATCTAAAACTGCATTATCTTTTGTAACTTAATTAAATTCATGTACATCCACAGTAAAACACGGACTAGAAGATAGGATTGAATTAATTCAGCACCACTTCTTTCACCAAAACTCACCAAAAATTGCTCTAATTTTGAATAGAAAATATAACAATTCACACATATTTCCGAGTTATAGCACACTGAATAGTGACAGCAATGAAAATGTCAAACCAGTTACTGATTGCTGTGATTCTTCCCATTAGGCTCCTGTCAATCCTGGAAGACTAAATCCAAACAGGTAGAATGGGCCCAGCTGGACAAGCAGTGGAAAGCTTGCCACTGTTTGAAATGGTAAATTGCATGTTTTTAGCTGGTTAAACTCCAGTAATATCCTGATCCTGATGGTCTGAGATGGACAAGTAATAGTCCATCTCGGAAGGACCATTACTTCATCTGCCTTAACTCCTCAATCCCTCTCCCCACTGCCATCTCCATCTCCTACCAGCCCTGGAAAAAAATCTCCCCCCTTCCTCTCTGCTGCCTTGGAGTCATCTGAACTCCTCCACCTCTGGGCTTCCTCCCACAATAACCTATCCTTGCACATCAAATGCAAGGATTATTATTATTCTCCTCAGTCACTCTCCTCCATAATTCCCTCTCTACCAATCTCGATGCCCTTGCTCCCTCACTTCCCGAACCGCCTCCTACTCATGGAAGTCACCCTGGTACACCAGCCACCTCCGCTACCTTAAGTGTGTGCTGCCGAATGCACTTGGCTCAAATTTAACTTAACAGTCCATCAGCAGATCCAGCTGGACCTCATCAAATTTTACTGCTCCGCCTTTGCCTCCGCTAAATCATTCTTTTACTCCAAGACAATCTTGGAGACCAAGGACAATCCCAGCCTCCTCTTCTCCATCACCAACCAGTTCCTCCTTCCACCCTTTCATGCCTCCCCCATCCGCTCCTCCACTGCGAGGAGTTGCTGGACTTCCTCAAAACCAAAGTCGAGGGGATCCGCTCAGCTGCCTCTGCAACGTCTGACCACCACTCCCTACCCATCTCCCCCTCACACCCCAGCCCCTACCCATGCCTCCCTCCATACCTGTGAACCTGTTTCCCCTTCCTTCTCACCACCACTATAACCCGCATGAAACCAACCACCTGCTCCCTCAACCCCATCCCTACCTCTCTCCTTATCTCCCTACTCAGACATCATAAACATCTTCGTGTTCACTAGCACCATTCCCACACCTTTAAAAACAGTTGTCATCATTCCTATCTTTAAAAAAAACCCTCCCTGGATCCATCCCTGGTCTCAAATTACCTCCCCATGTTCAACCTCCCTTTCCTTTCCAAGGTCCTGCAATGAGCTTCACAGCTTTGTTTCTTCCTCTCTGGCCACTCCCTTCACAAACTCCTCCAATTGGGTTTCCATACCGACCACAGCACAGAAATAGCTTCAGTCAAAGCACCAAATTACATTTTGTCCATCTGCGACCAGTACTCCCTCTGCCTCCTCATCCTCCTTGACCTCTCTGCTGCCTTCGATACCTTTGACGACCCTATCCTCCTCCACCACCTCCCCTCTCACCTCAACCTTCATGGTTCTGTCCTTGACCCGCTCTGCCTACCCTCACCTCCACAACATTGCCTGGCTCCGTCACTGCCTCACACCGCAGGCCGCCGAGACCCTTATACACGCATTCATAACATCCAGGCTCGATTATGCAAACTCCCTGCTTGTTGGCCTCCCTAAATCCTCCCTCCATAGGTTCCAGATCATCCAGAACTCTGCAGCCCGTGTCCTCTCCCCCACCAGGCTCCGCGACCCTATCACCCGACTCCACTGGCTTCCCATCATACAGAGGATACAGTTCAAGATCGTGGTCCTCATTTTCAAAGCCCTCCATGGCCTCGCTTCTCCCTACCTCTGCAACCTCCTCTACCATCCTGCCTGCTCCCTCCGCTCAGTGGGCTCCAGCTTGCTTCACATCCCCTGCCTCACCCATACCAACAAAGGCGGGTGGGCCTTCCACCCTCTGGAATTCCATCCCACAATCCCTCTGCCCCTCCCTTACCTCCTTCAAGACGGGACTCAAGAACCCTCCTCTTTGACAGTGCCTTCGGTCACCCTCCCTCCTCGCTACTCTCCTCCCTCCCCGATCTCGACCCCCAGGTCAGGTCCCAAACACTGATAGTCCAGCGCCTTAAGACGTCCTCCCAATGTGAAAAGTGCTTTAAAATGTAATTTGGTTGTTGTATTTTGTTGTTGTTAATGCAAACTGTGGAGTCTCCATGCTTTTGCTCTTTCCAGCCAGTGCATAAATAATAATAATAATCCTTGCATTTGATATAGCGCTTTTCACGTCTTCTAGACGTCTCAAAGTGCTTCACAGAATATACTGTAAAATGAATTGACTGTATATTTGTGGGTGAAACACGGCAGCCAATTGCTAGTGTTCCACAAACAGTCGTGGATTGAAAATTAACAATTTATTATTTTGTTTTTTGGAGGGATTATTATTAGGCGTGTGGAGTAAGGAAACTTGCCCAAGGTTTCGTCCTGTCTGGAGTTGAACTCAGGTCTCTCGTTTGCAAGGCGAGTGCTCTAACCACTGAGCTACAGGACTCCACATAAAGGCTCTAGGATTATGTAAGCAGGGTGCTGGAGAGAGAGTGCATGCTCCATGCAAAACAAATGGAAACATACACAATGTGGAACTCTCAGTTGTTCGATTTGGAACATGGCGATGCATTTCTGTGTCTGACCAAAAGTAAATAAATGGCAGCTGTGATATACTGTGCTTTGCAGTCATTGATGGCAAAGGCAGAACCACATACACATGTACTCTGAGTTATCCATGGAGTGTTAATTACTGAAGCTGAAAAAGCTTTTGAGCAGTGTAACCACAGGAAAATTTGTCTCGTGGGTAAACAGGGTTTCTACCGAGAGCACTTTGAAACATCACAATAAGTCACAAGTCTTTGGATCTGATGGGTTATCAGGCCAGTTCCTTCCAATTGGTTTGACATACAGGATTTCCCTGCAAAAAACGAAGTTTCACTGTGAAGCCCTTTTTCTGGTGTTTACAATGTTTAAGCGCTTTTTCAAATCCCATCCTTCACACCGTCTCCAAGTGCCAGTGAGATTTGCAATGACGTAGAAGAACTTAGAAGCAGCCAATTCCTCCTATCCCCTTCTCCCCTAAAGGTACTAACTCATATTAAGTTACATTACCTCAAGCAGCAGTCCCTGTATTCTACTCAAATCGTCCACTATTTCTGTGACAGCCTGGACCCTGAGTGTTGGCAAGCCCAATCGTGTCCTTATCCAATGTCCATGCACACTTTCCAGCACATGGTCAATGAATATTAATCAGGAGCATGAACTCTGGCTGATTTGTCCCCTTATTAGCCCAGGGGAACTGAGGCCAATTGTCAGGCCACCTCCACTTCCTGGCTGATATCAATTGACTCAGCAGTGACCACAGGAATGGAACCAATGGCATTCCTAGTCTGTCTAGTTCAGTCACACATCAGAGGCCTAAAATTCCACCTCGTTTTAGCTTGTAAAATTATTTGTCTTCATCTCTAAGATTGCGTACAATTGTGAACTTTAACTAATCTTAAATAAAATCAGAATTTGAAAGCTAAAATTCTTAAAAATAACCAGCTTCCAAATTAAGACTGAATTCAACAACTTTCCCCAAATCTGCACAATTTTACGTTTTGAGACAAAATGGTCTTACAGATTAAGACAAAGTGTAATTTCCAACCTAGTATAGTGAATTTACTCACTGATAGTTCACATGTAGACATAGTGTAGCTGCTGTGCTGCATTAAAGGGCTACTACTTTCTCTATCTCATTCCTAGGGAGAAACTTTAGTGTTGTAAAATTGACAGCGACGTACTGCACATTTGACATTTGTGTGGTACAAAGGATCATACCCACCAACACTAAATGTGCAGTATAACTGAGGTTATTGTTTTGCCATAGTAATATATCATCATAGATGTATAAAAAGGTCAGTTCTCTTACCTGGGTAGTCATTCCTGTCAATGTCCGAGGCGCCCCGCAATGTAAAGCCAAATCCAGAAGGTATGGCCTGGGATGACCACTGTTCCTCAAGAACCTGTGAAGGTTTAGGATTTAGACCAGTGCTTTGGCCATTATAGATCAGGACTTTGCCTCTCCCATCGTCACCAGCAAATGGTACACCAATTGCAATATCTAGACATCAAAAGAAGTTTTAAAAAAGAAGCAGGGTTTATATTAGAAAGCAGAGTGAAACTTACCAGAGCTTTCATCAAATATAAGATAAAGGCACTAAAAACATTTGATGCAATAAATATGGGGATCTCATTTGTGATATTAATAAAGGGAATCTGAGTTTCACAAATGGGGACACTTTCCGATATCAGGAAGTATATCCAGCGTCTTGAGACGTTCACCTGATGTGAAAGATACCTTACAAATGTAATTTTGTATTGTACATTATACCAACCCATGAGAACTGCACCCAAATGCAATCTACTTCCAGGACAGAGTTCCTATTGGTCAAAGTGATAAATATCCCATACTTTATTTTTCCTCGGGGGCACAGTAACAATTTTAGTCAAATATAGAACAATGTTTAGTTTATCTAGTCTCACAAAGTTCCTTCTACCTTTAGATACACATCTTCCCAATCTTAATGTAAGAAAAAATTAGAATTAACCAGTCTTATCGAAGAGGCAAAACATGGCTTGATCCTAGAACAGAGCAGGAATGGACAGCAAATGTCATACCTTTCTAGTCTAGAACATTTACATTTTTAGTGGAAAGCCAAACTTCAGGAAAATGTTGCCAGTAAAAGAGCACAATTGTGCACATTAGGGCTGCACATTCAGCATCAATGCACCATTCAATACACCAGATTATACTGTATTATGTCAGCGTCACTGCTCCAGACACTACTGGAAGGTTGGTGTATTCAGGTGCATTAGGATTCACACCCTCTGCAGTGAATGTACACTGAACTGGGCTTGCTCCTCTGTCGTTCACCAAGAACTCTCGAGTGTTCATGTGATCTTGCGATTGAACTGCCCAAAGGCTATCAACGGGAACTTTTGACAATGGTGAAGAGTGAGTGTTCTGCTGTATTTGCTCCCAATGTTGCTGCAATGAGGAGTGGGAAGTATGATTCAAATGATATCATTTGACTGCCAGTAGGATAAATGCAGCATTGTTTTTTCACATATATCAGAAACATGTCAAGGAAATTAGAAAGAATTAGTAAACAAGAGCTCAGTGTTTGCCTCTTCCAGAGGAAAAGCTATCTGCTTATATTTGCGCCAATGTTTTCCATTTCAGATATCCAATAAAAAAGAATGGACACCCACACCCCAGATTGTCCAATATTCTGATTCCATTAAAAATCAATAAGGCCTCTTTGGAGCACCAGGACCCCAGCACTGAAGTAAGTAGGGAGAGATACAGACATTCAATGGATTGGTCTCCAGAGGCATACAATACAATCTACACTAATATAATATCTTTCACTTTGGGAGAACATCTCAAAGCACGTAAAAATGCTGGATGGGGCACCTGAGCTAGGGATGGGAGCCAAATAAGGAGGGGAGGGAAAACATGACTGAATGCATGGTCCAAGAGGTAAGGTTTGTGATGTACTTTGAAAGAGGAGGGAGGGAGAATAAAAACAGTATGAAAAACCAAATATATTTATCACGTCTCCATGTCTTACATCTCTCAAGAAAGATTCAGTATAAAGTACCTAGAACTGGAAATAATCCACTAAACGTTACGCCTCCTTTACTGGAGACGTCAGACAGACTTTTTTTTCCTTCTGTGCTTATGTAAGTTTTGAAACAACACAACAATAACATCATTTGAGTTTGGACTCTTTCCAGTCTACTTTCATAACCACCAACGATCCAGATAAAGAGAGCACCAGTTCAGGGTTGTGAAGGGTATTAATACATCAACAACAACAACTTGCATCTATATATTGACGTCACGCGAGTAATGTCTTGAAGCGCTTAACAGTGGTGTGGTTTGACACTGGAAAAAGAGGAGAGATGACTGAAGGCACGGTGGAAGTGGAAAGTGAGTTGAAGGTGGGCAAATAGAGGGAAAGACAGAGGGATTGAAACAAAGGTTTACAAAGATCCAGGGTCTAGTGGCTGAAAGCATATTATTACTAACATTAGAAGGGATTGACAAAGAGTGTACCGTTATATCCATCGTGGTTCAAATCTGCCAAAGATGCTATGGCACTTCCATATCTGCCAAATACGTCAGTCCCTAATAGTTTCTGAGGATCTTGGAATTGGAATGCCTCTTCTTGCAGGAACAAGTAGACCTGTCCCACTTCCTTCAACTTTCCATCAGATTCACGATCCATGAAAAGAGGGGCACCAACTAAAACATCATCCAACCTGTGCAGAATGAATAAGGCGATGGTAAATCTGGTGATCAGCACTGAAAAAAACCCTGGCCAAAAATCCCTCTAATAAAATCGTCATTCACTTCATTGTGTAATTTGGCTTTGGGATAACGCTATGTGTAATTTGGCTTTGGGATATCGCTGTGTGTAGTTCTACTACAAATACACCTTATAATAAATCCTGTGAAGCACTTTGTGACATCTTCCTGATGTAAAAGAAGTACATCAAATGCAAGGGTTATTATAAATTCAGTGGTTTAATTGTCTTGTCATCAGTAAATATTCCTTTTGCAAAGCAATTGGTACTTGAGAGAAGAAATATTTATTTACAACTATGTAACCAGTGTCACACTGTCACCGATTACATGGAAATGATAGAGTTTCAGAGGCTGAGATGTGCTATTGTATCAACAGACCAGGACACTGGCATGTAACTTGGCGTCAGAAACTGCATGAACCGGAGATTGAGGACTTTAAAAAGTAAACTGCGAGTTCCAGCTGACAAGGTGAAATAAATATTTGGAGTGTGCAACCGCAACTTTCAAACAAGTTGCGTCTCATAGACAAGATAGATTGCTTTAAATTCTTTCACAGAATGGGCCCCAGTTTACAGATGCACTTGAGCCTGTACGAGTTTTTCCAAATTCATAGTCTATTATCAATTCTTTCGTTTTAGAGGAAACATCTGTAGGAGCAGCTGTGTCCATTGCACCAAACCAAAAGAACATGTATAGATTGTATTAGTTAGAATACATAAAGGAACATTTTTTCTCCTTTCAAAGGGTAGTCTCTTTAATGGAGTTCCTGTTGGGTTTACAACAAAGAGAAAGAACCCCAGTCCTCTCTGTAGACCTTCTTCCTAAGGTCAGCACACAGAAAGCTCACTGAACAGATCAACTGATTTCAGGAAAGAGAAAATAACACAGCAAACACATTTACAGCTTAACAGTAGTACTGGGAATTGGTATCTTAGTAAATTAATACTCTCGCCAGTAGCCCCTTTACCTAAACTGTTGACATTTCCCACACTCCTGCTGTTTATTACCCAGCAGGATGCACTGCATCTACTGTGATTCAGCACCAATCAACAAGATTAGTTAAAGAGGTTTTACTAAGATGCTAGGGAGAGAACGGAAGGCAAACACAGAAAATAATTTCAATTTCTCACCAATTTCCTCTCACATTTATTTTCTCTTGTGATTTGACACACGTATCTAAATCCTTTTCTTTTTTACTGGGTTAATTTGGCTCTGTGGGTTCTGACACCCTCTGGTACCCCTCCTAAGTGACCATGAAATTGACCTGTGAACCTTGACAGTGAGCAGAGGCAGCAGGAGCATCCACTGCAGGAGAACCCCAAGACGCTACTTGTGTGAAGGGAGCTATATAAATGCAAGTTGCTGTTGTGGTTGAATCACAGGTGAGCACAATATTGTCCTCATCTGTGATGCTGAGACCAATTATAGCGCTCCCTCTTCAACAACAAATTACATTTGTAAAGTGCCTTTCACATCAGGAGGACTTCTCAAGGTACTGGGCAGTCAAGGATTTGGACCCGAGCAGGGAATTGGGATCAGAGAGGGTGGAGGGCAGGGAGAGTAGGGCTAGGAGGATGACCAAATGTGTGGTCGAAGAGGAGAGTCTTGAAATGGGCCTTGAAGGAGGCAAGGCACGGAACGAGGCAAACGGACTGTGGAATGGAGTGAGGGCAGAGAGGCTGAAGGCCTGACCATCGATGGTGGAGCAGGTGACAAGAAGCAGGCCAGAGTCTGCTGAGTGGAGGAAACGGACAAGTCTGTATGGATTTAGCAGATCACAAAGGTAGCAGGTTACGAATCATGGGATCTCCACAGCATCTTTCCAAGCACTGAGCTTGGCGTAGGGAAATGCACTCGGCTTTAAGGTGGAAATTGCAGTTTTCAAAGTGCCCCAAAAATCTTTTTGTAAAACAACACAGAAAGCTAGCCTCCATCTGCAGGGTTTTAATAGAAGGAGATCACACCAGCCATGTAACGTCACCAATTATACATTTCATGGTTTGTGACTGAGTTTCTGGCACTCAGGAACCGCTCTGATGACAACTCTTTAAAATGTACTGTTTGGCAGCACCTTACATTTTACTAACAGAAAACATATATTGAAGATTTTCCAGGGGAAAAGCATTGTTAATACCTCTTGAATCTATATCAGAACTGATGTACGCTGAAACTTGACTGATAATAATCCTTGCATTTCATTTAGCACTTTTCAGTCGGCGAAGCATTTCACGGGATTTACAGTAAAGTAAATACTGTAAAGTGATTGTGAGTCAAGCTCCGTCACTGTTAAATGCTCCAAGACACTACACCACATATAAATGCAATTTGTTGTTATTGTTTGTAGGCGAATATGAAAAACAATTTACGCAAAGTAACAACAACAAATCAGATTTTGATAGCGTTTTCACAATACGGAGCAATCCTGTGCAGTTAAAGTGTCTGTAAAGGTCTTGGTTCAAAGTTGATCTGGGGTCAGGTAAAACTCAGTGAGACCCGAGTTTGTGACAAACTACCTCTATAACTGTGTCTTTGTCTGTGTCTCCCCTAAGCTCAGCCTGCTGCTCGGCCTTTGTAAGATGCTTTGAGATATTGAAACACGAAAGGTGCTATCTAAATGTAAATTGTTGTTGAACAATGTTTTATTGAAGCCAACTGCGTGAATCAATGTTTTTGATTGGTTTCCGTAGAAATAACATCAGTTGTTCTCATAAAATTAATGTTTTTTTCAAGGTATAGAAATGTATCGGTAAACTTTAACTGCTTTGATGAACCAGCAAACAATTAACTGTTTCTTAATCAAACTGTTTACGAATGACCATGTAAAGTGTTTGAATTTGCAGTTGAATAATGAAACGTCTGCCTGTTCAGGTGGATGTTAAAGACCCAGTGACACAATTTGAAAAGAGAAGGGAGTTGCTTTTAGTGTCCTGGCTAACAATCCTCCAGATAAAATTGGTCATTCACTTTGTGGGTGTTTGTGAGATATTGGTATTCACAAATTGGCTGCCACATTCAACCACAAATGCAGTCACCACACTTTACACTAAGATCCCATGAAGCACTTGGAGCTATTTCATTGGTGTGATAAGGTGATATATCAAATACAAGGATTATTATCAATAATATCAGAGTAGCTGATTCTCGTGAGGCTTTCCTGGGACTGATTCAACAATAAGTTCCTGCTTTAAAGCCCAGTTCCTCCTCTGTGACCCTTCTGAACTGAATGCTTCAAGGAAGCCTAAGCCTAAGCTAATGCCAAACACTTGGACAGACACTTGGAACAAGCTAAAGACTAGAGAAATTATCCAAGTTGTCCTATTTAGACAGATTGTCAAAACACTAAAAGGTTATCACAACATTGATGTTCTAGCATTTTCTATTCACACATTTACTAAATATCTCATCTTGCATCACAAATACAGAGCATGCCAAAGACAAAAGAACCCCAAGGTTTAATTTGCAGTATTTCTTTTGTGTTGTTAAAAATACAGAGTCTTTCCTGTAATTGGAAATATGTCACACTGACCCAAAGGAACTCAGCTCCGGAATACACTTTAGGAACAGAGTTTGCCTGGATTGACGGGTGTTCTGATAGGATTTCTGAAGGGGACCACTCGGCTCTTGTTAACATCAACAACAACTTGGATTCATATAGCGCCCTCCACGCTGGATGGCGTCTCAGAGCGCTTTACAGTAACGGATCCGGGGCCGAGCCAGGGGGAGGGGGAGGAAGGTGACCAAAGGCGCGGTCGAAAACAAAAGGTCTTCAGCAGAGACCTGAAAATGGGAAGGGAAGGAGCGAGACAAAGGGAGTGAGGAAGGAAGTTCCAGAGCCTCGGGGCATAGTGGCTGAAGGCACGGCCGCCGAGGGTGGAGCGGAGAACTCGGGGGACAAGGAGGAAGCCAGACCCGGAGGAATGAAGGCAATGGGTACTGTTTTGAGGAGAGAGGAGGTCAGAGAGGTAGGGAGTTGCAGAGGAGTGCAGGGACTTGAATACAAGGGTGAGGATCTTGAAATTAATCCTCTCTGGGATAGGCAGCCAGTGCAGTCTGGCAAGGACTGGGGTGATCGGGGAGTGGAGTTTCGTGCGGGTGAGAATGCGGGCAGCAGAGTTCTGAATGATTTGGATTTTATGGATGGGAGGAGGGCATTGGAGTAGTCCAGCCGAGAGGTGACAAAGGTATGGACCAGGGTTTCAGCGGCTTTTGGCGAGAGGTATTGACGGAGACGGGTGATGCGTCGGAGGTGGTAGAAGGCGGTGCTGGTGAGGGACCGGATGTGGAGGAGGAAGGATAATTGGGGGTCGAACCTGATGCCTAGGTTGCGTACAGGTTTGGAGAGTTTTAGGGGGAGGTCGGGTAGGTGAAGAAGGTGAAAACCGAGAGATTTTAGACATTGACGAGAGCCAAAGAGTATGGCTTCCGTCTTGTCAACATTCAGCTGAACGAAGTTTGCGCTCATCCAACCCCTGAGATCTGACAAGCAGGCTGACAGAACATCAGGGTACTGGGGGTCGCAAGGAAAGGTGCAGGTGTCATCTGCATACATGTAGAAATGTACCCCATGTCTGCAGATGACATCCCCAAGAGGGAGCATGTAGATCAGAAAGAGGAGGGGGCCAAGAATGGATCCTTGGGGTACCCCGCAAGTGACCGGGTGAGAGCGGGAAAAGAAGCCGTTTGTGCAGATGTACTGCTGGCGGTTTGTGAGGTAGGACTCGCACCAGACGAGTGCGGTCCCACTGAGGTGGATGACGGAGGAAAGGCGGTGGAGGAGGATGGCATGATCGACTGTGTCGAATGCGGCGGAGAAGTCCAGGAGGACAAGGAGGCAGAGGGAGCCTTGGTCACAGATAGAGAGGATGTCATTTGTGACTTTCACAAGCGCAGTCTCTGTACTGTGGGCAGGGCGGAGACCAGACTGGAGGGGTTCGAAGAGGGAGTGGGAGGAGAGGTGTGCGCGAAGTTGGTTGGCAACGACGCGTTCTAGAACTTTTGAGAGGAAGAGCAGGTTAGAAATAGGGCGGTAGTGGCTGGGGTTTGAGGGATTTAGGGAGGGGTTTTTCAGGAGGGGGTGATGACAGCAGTTTTGAGGGAGGCAGGGCCTGATCCGGAGGAGAGAGATTGGTTGAGATGTCAGCCAGTAGTGGGCAGAGGAGGGGGAGCTGGGTGACCAGTAAGTTGGTGGGGAGGGAGTCGAGGCAGCAGGTGGTGGGTTTCATGGAGGTGATAGTGGGTGAGAGGGACGAGGGAGAGATGGGGAAGAAGGAACGTAGAATGGGGGTGGTGGTAGGAGCAGATGATGAGGAAGGTGAGGGGGACAGAGAGGGTGTGGTGGTGGGTGACAAGGTGCAGGTGGATGAGGCTGCCTAGCGGATGTTAACTATTTTAGAAGAAAAGAAGTCCATGACCTCCTCACACTGGCATTTGATATGAAGTTTGAAGTGGCCTGAGGGGGCGCACAGTGGAGGTAAAAAGGATTTTTGAGTTGTGTTTAGCCTCCAAGATGATGTTGGAGTAGAAGGCCGTTTTTGCACGAGTCAAAGAACGGTGGTAGCTGTGGAGATGCTCGAGCCACAGTTGGTGGTGAATTGTCAGGCCAGTTTTCCACCATCTGCGCTCGAGCAGACTGGTTTGAGTTTTTTGGCAGCGGAGATTATTTTTGTACCAGAGGGATCGGGTGGGTTTGAAGATGGTCCTGGATTTCAGGGGTACGAGGGAGTTGAAGGTGGAGGAGATGCGACAATGGAGCAGCTGGATGGCTGCTTCAGGATCTCCGGGGGCAGAGTGCCAGAGGGATAGGATGTTTGATGATGAGAGGGCCTTGTAAGGGTCTCAGGGGGTAGCATTTTCAAAGGTGGTAGAGGATTGTTGAGGGCTTGGTGGAGGACAGAGGGATGTGAGAAGAGAAGCAGATGAAAAAGTGGTCCGAGATGGCCTTGTCCACTATGCTGAGGTCGGAAATGTCAAGGCCATGGGTGATGACGAGGTCAAGTGCATGACCACGGTTGTGGGTGGGTGAATTTATATGGAGGGCAAGGTTTAGGGAGGAGAGCAGTGAAATCGGCAGAAGTGGTGCAAGGGGAGTTTAGGTGGAGGTTGAAATTGCCTTAAAGCCAAAATCTTTTAGTAGTCCAAGCTGGGCAGGCAACGAGAAGTTTGCCAGTGTTCATTATACAAGCAATGTGCATAATTACAGCAACCCCCAATACATTCTGGAGATTCACAGGATATACTGTAAAGTGCAATGACTTTGTATTTTATGGATGAGTGGCAGCCAATTTGTACACACCAATTTACCATAAACAGCCATGAAGTGGCAAAACTCTCTTATGGAAAACCTGTGGCCATTGCCACTGAAATCATTGAAAACTTGCTCACACTTTACATTATCTACTCACCCATCCCTGTTTATATCGGAGACCGCCACTGTATATCCAAAGTACGAAGCCATCTATGGATAGGAAAACACAAAGTAGTTATTTGACTTTTGTTTTAAATATAACAGATGATAATTAAAATAATTACGGTGCTGGAGCAGAGCCTGGACTGGTGCATGGAATCCAGCTGGGGGTTGCCCTGACCACCCGACTGATGATAACAATAACAATGCTAACTATCTTCTTGTACACCAGTTAACTCCTGAATAAAATGGCACACCGATGTCACTTCCTGTGTGCTGCATACACATATCGCACAGGAAATGACATTGGTGGTGACCTGATGACTCTGTCTAGTATGACTGCTTTCTAATTAGGCTTCACTGTATGTAAGATTAATAATCTCGCCTTAATCATTTTCTGTTGGGTTGCACTCTGCTTGCCTAATTCCAGAGGGTATTAGATGCAGTTTGGTAACAGCTTGGGGGTCCTAGAGTATGTGTTGGGGTATTGCTGGAGTCTAACTCGCTAAATCCACATAGCTTGCAATTGAAAGCACTCTTTGGCAAGCTTTCCAGCTGCTTGTCCATTCGGGTTTTTGCTTGGAGTGTTAACAGGAGCTAAGTGGAAAGAGTTCACCCAATGACTGGTTTGCTTTTCCAAGTCCTACCAATGAGCCAGGTCAACTGTGCTGTCATCAGCAGTGCCCTGGAGTCCTGCAGAACTGTCTGGCTCAAGAACTGGTCTACCGAGACCATCACAATATCAATTCGGACTAAGTGAGCCTTTTGCTCATCTGATCTCTTGCTTCCAGAAATACCAACCCTAATGTTCTCCCATCAGAGCATCAAGCTGTTTTTAAATGAGTCCTGTGTCCTGGCTTCAACCACCCTTCCCTCCTGGCAACCATTTCCAGTTGTTAAGTACAAACAAAGAAAAACTTCCTGATGTGTGTCCTGAAATTGCCGTTTCCAACTCTAAACCTTTTGTTCTACTAGCTCATCTAATCTTTACTCATAGCAAATGCCTTAAAATGAAAGATGATCCTTGTTGCTCTCCTTTGCACTGCCTCTAGGGCCTGAGCAGCTCTCTATGCTGTGGTAACCAGAACTGTATACAGCAGTCTAGCTATGGGCTGACCATCCAGAGCATGATATAGTTTGAGTATGGCATCTGGGATCTAAACTCAACTGATTTAGCAATACAGCCCAGCATCCGGCTTACCTTATTTATTGCTGCCTCATACAGTTTTGACATAGTGAGCAACAAGTCAACTAACACCCTTAGCTTACCTTCAACTTCCCCCTTGGCAAGTCCTATCCCATCAATGGAGTACATATGTTTCCTATATATTTCCTATTATTTCCTATATGTAGGACCTTGCATTTATGTATATTCTGACATTCTGTTGCCAGGCATGTCACCTTTGAACAGTTCAGCTCCAAGGAGATCCTGCTTACCTCCCTCCCCCAAGGAGGAGAGTGCAATCATTTCAAGGCTTCAATAAAATTAACAGATGTTTTACCTGTTCACCAGTAAAGTTCAAAATGTAGGTCATATCCGTTGCATTTAAGATGGCAACCTGGAAGGGAAGTACATTTAGATTAGCAACCAGTCATATTTTCTGTGAATTCAAGCATTTAACTCTGTGCAGGCGATGAACTGAATATTAATGATAACATGTGCAACTAGTTTTTTAAATTGAAAACTAAAGTAGTGTCACTTGTTGGAGCATCAACACTACATTACAAAATGAAAGTACATGGGTTTACGCATACTTAGCTCCGCCATACTATCCAGGAGAAGAAGTCATAGCAACAACAACTTGCATTTATAAAATGCCCTTCACTTAGGGTAGTGCCTCAGAGTGCTGTGTGCTGTACAGCGGGGGGGTTGGGGAGTGGAGCACCAGGCAAGATAGAAGGGGATGGGAAGGGGGAGATGACCATAGGCGCAGTCAAATAGGTAAGTCTTCAGTGGGATTTAAAGGTATATAAAGAAGGAGCCAGGTGGAGCGATTGAGGCAAGGAGTTAATTACAAAGATAAGTCATTTAGTATTGAGAAGAAGACATCAGAGAAAATCTCATGTGTATAAAATTTTAAATGGGATTGCAAAAATAAGATCAGATCAATGCATTAGGATGTAACCAGAAAGTAGAACAAAAGCCATAGGTTTAGAGTTATAATTTCACAATAGTTTTTCTTAATGCAGAGGGTAAGCAACGACTGGAACAGTTTGTCAAGAAAGATGGTAGAGGCCAGAACATTGGGTTCATTTAAAAAGCAGCTTGAAGTAGTCATGAGGGGACGGTAGGATGGGTGTTCTGGAGGAATGAGATTGAATGAATGGGCCAAATGTCCTTCTTCATCCAGACCAATCTTGTGATCTTGTTACAAGAAGAGGCCAGCCACTTCCCTCCAGGCAGACGGCAAGGGTCAGCCTCAGAGATTAGATCAAAGCTGCAGTGGCTGAGATGTAGTATCAGGCTGCTGATCAATCCTCTTAGCTACAAAAGCTGAGCTGAAGAAACCCATGGAGAGAAGGGGGGAGGGGGAATGGGAGGAAGGGGGAATGGGGGGGGAAGGGGAGGGGGGAAAGGAGGAGGGTGCAATGGGGAAGAGGGGGGGAAGGCGGGGAATGGCGATGGATGCCAAGCACTAAACAAGTGACTCTTACTCCACCAAAATAGGAGCACAATTGTACCAATTACAAAGAAAAGATGCAAAATATAAACTGGGTTTGCTGCTTGTTCTGAACTGATGAAATTTATAAGCAACAACAATCCAATTACACTGGAAAATAAAGATAAACAAAATAATTTTACATACGTATCCAAATGCCTGTGCACCCCTCGGGATTCCAGCAACAAATTCTATACAGTCAGAAGGGAAAACAAATGTCAGTAAGCTGTAAATGTGACAGAATACACCTCTCAGATTAAAATTCACTTTGATGTTTTAAGGAAGGGGAAATGACTAATAAATGCATAATAAATGAATATATGCTTTTGGTGGTCACCACTATGTCAATTAAGTTGTTTACCTTGTTCTGAGTCTCCTGTGAATTCCCCCACGGCTACTGAATATCCTGTTAGATAAAAGAATTACCAACAGATGGTCATGTTTTAATAATTACAGCCCAAGAAAACACATACATATGAAAGCAAAGGGATTATCAGTGGGCATGGAACATGAACTTCTAATCTGCCATTTTCACCCACATTCAATGTTCATTTTGTTTCCAGTTTGGTATAAAGTTCTTTAAAGCTTGCAAAATGAATCTAAAGTTGTAAATATGTCCTCATTGTAAACGTCTGCTGGGAAATCAGAAGTGGCATCAACCCCATCCAAATGAGACAACACACCTAAAAACTGAGTGGCAAAAATTACTGACCAGGCAGTAAATCACCCCCATTTTCTGGGACCTATCTTTTGAACTCTATATAAAATATAGCCATTGAATGGAGTTTTTCATAGTAGGTACCTGCCTGCTTCATGTTCATCTGACCCACCTAGCCCCCACCTGCCCTATGCACTCCACTATTGTTGGACAAGCTTTCAGTCATTCTGCCCCCACATTTTGCAACTCCCTCCCCGAGTCCCTCCGTTTCCTCATTCAAGGCCTGTCTCAGAATATATCTCATTGACACCGATTTCAGTCATATATCCAATCCCCACACCCTTCGACTCCCACCCTCACTTTGGGTGCCCAATCAACAGTATCAAGCACTTTGAGACATTCAAGACTGAGATTTATAGATTTCTTGTGGATAAAGGGATTAAGGGATATGGGGATAAGGCGGGTAGGTGGAGTTAGAATAGATCAGCCATGATCTTACTGAATGGCGGGGCAGGCTAGAGGGGCCGAATGGCCTACTCCTGCTCCTAATTCTTATGTTCTTATGCTTCCAATATGAAAGGTGCTATATAAATGGAAACTGTATTGTAAATTGTATTATATTGCTCTTTTTAAATACTTACATTTATTGTCACAAAACTAAAATACAGCCTGAATTTAAACACAAAGACAATGTAGCTGAAAATAATGTAATTGCTTTCATAAAGAAACAAATAATCAGGGCACTGGACTCGATTCAATGCATTCACAAATACAGAAGTTTAACTGCCCAAATTAACCAAATAACTGCATATGTCATGGAAGACTGATTTTGAAGTCAATGGAACATGTTAAATTGGGCAAGTAAAGTACAAGTGACTTCAAGTTTCACTTTTTCTTCTTCAGTCATGTAGCAACACAAGCTATAGCCAGAGAGGAACGTATTATTGGGTCAATTGTCTACTCATGGTTGATCGCATCTTCGCAGAACCTAAATTTGAAAATGTCGCATTTATGTTGGCTGATCTTTGCCCGTTCTTTACTAAACCTGTGCAAACTTAATATGCAACAAGTTCAAGCGCATTTCATTCAAAAAGAGCACAAAATCCCGATATGTTGGAGAGAGAGACATACCAAACACCAAACAAAATTATCCTGCCTCAGTTGGCAGCAGTCTCAGTCTGGGTCAAAAGATTGTTGGTTCAAGTCCTATATCTTCATAGTTTAGGCTGATTCTCCAGTGCATTTGTGTGTCCTTCTTTGGAACTCCTTGTCTCAATCTTTCCATCTTTCCCCCTCTTTATTTGACTAGAATAGTTGTCAAGTGCTTTGTGATGTTTTGACACAGAGATATAACATCTAGATCCTTGGTTGTCACCTTTTCCTAACCACTTTGCAATATATCCTGTGAAAAGCTCTGAGACAGCTTGATAAAACACTATATCAAATGCAAGTATTATTATGATAATAATAAAGTGATGATTGTTCACCTACTAATAAGGCATGTGAGTTGGGTTTAGACAGGTTAGTTTTACTCAATGATAAGGACAAAAATGTGGAGTCATCAGTAGGATAAAAAGACAATATAAAAATTTGGAGTCATCAGTAGAATAAAAAGACAATATAAAAATTTTCTTCTAAAACAGAACATGTTTGAGTGACTTCTCAATGTCTTGGAGAGAAAAAAAAGGGGAAATTCTTCTGAAGATAAGTAATTCTGGCATTATAAATCTCTGGCATTAGTCGAGGAATACACATTCCTCAAGGGATGTAGCTCTCATTCCAATACTGCTCAGTTGACAGTGTCATGACCTTTAGGAAATGTGTTAGAGTGATAAATCTATGATAACCTTTGTCTCATCAAGCCATGCAGCACAGATAACAACTCTAGCGGGTCTGGAGATGATGACCAAGACCCAAAGAACAGCATGGCAGTTGTATGTACTTCATGGGAATAGATCTAGACATCATCAGAAAGTTGTGGGTTTGGAACCCAGTACTCCAATTGAGCTCATAGTCCAGGCCGACAGTCCAATACAATGTTGGCGGAGCAGTGTAATTGCAATGAGACTGGCCAATCAGGATAAAATATTAATAATCCTTGCATTTGATATAGTGCCCTATCACATCTTTGAGACATCTCAAAGCGCTTCACAGAATATACTGTAAAGTGAATTGACTGTATATTTTGTGGACAAAACATTGCTTATTCGGCCTGCGGACATTTCTCAAATCCAGCGTCTGGCTGTCAGCAGCCAATAGGTCAAACCGCACCTGATCTACAGCATTGTGAAGCACTTTGAGATATCCTCCCTAGTTGAAATGTGTGCTCTATAAATGTAAATTGTATTGTCGTTTATTATCTGTGAAGCACTCTGAGATGTTTTGATGAGGCACCATATCAAATGCATGAGTACAGTCACTGCACTTTACAGTATATCCTGTGAAACACTTTGAGACGTCCTCCTGTCATGGAAGGCATTATAGAAAATGGAAGGATTGTTATAAGGATTATAATTTTAGCTCATATTAAATTTTAACAATAAAAGCAACTCCCTTTAGGAGGCATAGGCTCCTTACATTTTCACAATAAGACATGTCTCAACAAACTGGCCATTTTTCCTGGCAATTCATCACTGAAAAAATCTTTCTCTTGAAAAAACATGCATTCCCACACACTCACTGTCAAGTTGTTAACTATTACCAGGAATCAACATCTTAGTTTAGAAGTACAGTATTAAAAACACTTCACGAAAACATTTCCCTGAAGACCAAATTTCCACTCTGGATAAGTGAGACATTTTTGTGACCTATTAAACAAGCTTCTTTCTAACAGTCATTAACTCGTCCAGGCTACATTTACATTAGCTCCTGTGGTGAACAGCAAATGCATTTCTCAGTCATGCCAGAAGAGTCAAGGCTTCACCTCATTTACAGAAGATACAAAGGACACAGTATAAGCAATTTTAAGTACCAAATGAAACCAGCTGGAAGCCATTCATTATATTAAATGTATTGTGAGAAAAATCCTTGCTATTTTAAGACTAGGTTCAACTATGTTGCACGTTCAGTTATAAGTTAAAACCATGGAACAGTACAAAACAGCAGAGGAAGAGTTTATTTGGCCCATTGTGCCTGTGCTGGCTCTTTAAAAGAGTCAATTTTTTTACTCTCAATCTTCTGCTTTTTCCCTTTTTTTTACTTCTTCTTTTCAGATATTTATCTAATTCCCTTTTGTGAGCTCACCCACAAAATACACAATCACTCCATTTTACAATATATCATGTGATGCGCTTTGAGACATCCTCCTGATGTAAAAAGTGCTACATCAAATGTAAGGATTATTATTAATAAAAACTAATAAGATTTCTGCCCCCCAACTACCATTCTAGTGTAAAATAAATTCTTCTAAACTCTCCTTTTCATCTTTTAGCAATGACCATAAACCTATGTCACTGGTTACTGGTTCATTTACAAAGGAAATTATTTTTCCCTGATCCGTTATCAAAAACAGTTATTGTTTAAAATGTTTAATACAAGCTCCATTGTATGGTAACAAAGGAATGGGCAGTTTTGTCAAAGACTTGGCGATCCATATGATCGGTCCCAAAGGCAATGAAACAGACACAACACTATCCATAGCTATCATACCTTTTGTTCATTTATTCAAGGTTAGCTGTCTAATTCTCTCTGGCAATTGCTGGCACAATCTGCCTCCCTGTAGATAGTCTATTCCACACATTCATCACTCCCTATGTAGAATAATTCATTTTGAATTTTGTTCAAGGAAGTACTGATATTTAAATTGTTTTTTGCATTGGATATCATGGATGTATTGTTTTCCGATCAGTACATACATGATGCGTTTCCTCAATTATTAATTAATAACAATAATAATCTTTGTAATTGAAATAGCACCTTCAACCCACTTCACAGGATTTACCTGCAAGTGTAGTAACTTTTTTTAATGCTAACTAGTCAACCAATTTGTACACTGCAATGTTCCACAAATTGGAATATTGCAAATAAGTGACCAATTTTTTTTTAATTTGGGGGATTGTTGGCCAGGACACTGGGAGAAACTCCCTTCTCTTTTCAAATAAGTGCCAGTTTTATATCTCATCTGAAGGACGGATGAGATATCTATAATAATCTTCATCAACTTCTGTCTATTTCTTTATTCGCTTACAAAATACACAATCGCTACACTTTACAGTATGTCTGGTGAGACATACTCTTGACATGAAAAGCGCAATATCAAAAACAAAGATTATTATTATTATTAATATACTACCCACATCAATTTGCACTACTTCATGTGACCAGAATGATCTGAACTTGATTAAATTAAAACACAACCAACATTCTATCACTAAGATAGATTATAGATGTGCTTGATTCAACTCGTGGCTTTGATTCAACTCTGCAAAGCTGTGTGTTCAGCTACCGATGCCAACACTAGCTCTTTATGACTTAACAAAGCTGCTCACTTCAATACATTGGTAACTCAGTCCAGGTCACTTTAATGTGCTTGTCTGCTTTGAGTTAATGGTCATTCCGAATTGGGCCCCAGATGGCCACCATTTTGTCATGTTGTGTAATCCCAAAAAACTTTGTGAACCACAACATTCAGACTAATATTCTTCCAGTAATTGTGTTTATGTAATGCTCACATTTATAGGATCTGTATAAATACTGTCTGGTGGGTAGGATGGATTGTCCTCTGCTTCTTGGTACGTTTACTTAGGTTTACTGTGTGCAAATTGGCTGCTGTGTTTGGCCACAAAACATAGTCACTCCATGTTGCAATATATCTTTTGAAGCACCTTGAGATGTCACCCTGATGTGAAAGGCGCAATACCAAATGTCAGGATTATTATTACAATTGCATTAAATGTACTGATAAAAATAAATAAAAATAATAATAATTATAATCCTTGCCTTATCAAGTCGTTGAGACTTCTCAAAGGGCTTCAAGGAATATATTGTAAAATGGATTGACTGTGTATTTTGTGAGCCAATTGCACAGAGCAGTGTCCCACAAACAATCTTGGATTGAATGATCAATTTTGGGGTGGGTGGGGGTGAAAGAATATTACCCTCGGAAAGTGATCCGCCAATCCACTAACAACCGGGTTCCGACTTACTGCTAGGTAAACAGACACGTGTGGAGTAAGGAAATCTGCCGAAGGTTTCGTCCCACCCAGGAATTGAACTCAGGTCCTCTTGCTTGCAAGGTGAGTGCGCTAACCAATACGCCACAGGAAAACCCCTATTGTGATCAGCTAATTTTCTTTGAAGACTTAAGTGCTGAATGATAATTTATAAAAGAAAGAGGTTGCCTGAAGATGTTTATTTTATTGGATGAGTAAATTGTAATTGATATTATACATCCTACCTTTCCTTGAAGGTCCCTCACAAAAGATACTGAAAAGATCAAGGCCTTTGGAATTAAAAATAATCCTTGCATTGGATACAGTGCCTATAATGTCAAAATACTTCATAGTAATTACTCTTAAGTGTAATTGTAGGCAAAGAAGGCAGGCAATTTGTGAAACTGTTTTTGGCTGTTTGTGAGACATTGCTGTCGACAAAGACTGCCACATTCACCTATAAAATGTAGTCACTACATTTTATAGGTGAATTTATATTTTATAGTAAATCCTATTAAGCACTTGGAGACATCCTCCTATATTGAATGCAAGGATTATTAATTAATGAGGATTATTATAATTGGCACACAGTAATATCTCACTGACAACTAGTTGGTGAAATACTAATTTATCCCGTTGGCCAGGGCACCCAGAGAAACTCACTACTTGAATAGTATCACAGGTTCTTTAACATCCACCCGAACAGACAAAAAGGACCTCAATTTAATGCCTTATCTATAGGACGCCGCCTCTAACTATCCGGCACCCACCCAACACTGCACTGGAATGTCTGCCAAGTGTATGAGCTCAACATCCCCAGCCAACAAACTTCAAACTCAGAGGCAAGAATGCTGTCTTACTTAGACCAATACTGGCAAAAAATAAAACATGGAAAACCAGATGCTTCATAATATAAAGCAGGTAGCAATCACAAACGGTACAGAACTCTGCTTTGATGCAATGAACTTCCAGGAGCTCATCAGAGTAGAGTTCCTGTGGGTTGGCAGAGTGGACATCTGGTTACTTGCATGAGTCATCCTTTGCGATTTAGAGTCCCTGTCTGTGAATCTAAGTAGTGAACATTGCATTTTCAGCCTCAGTTAGCTCTAAGTATGTACAGCACAATCCCGTGAGAAATCTCTTTACTATAACATGGATTTGCTTTTAGTTGGGTTGTGGACCCTGGCATTTACTTATCCAAAAAATCCCAAATATGCCCCTGGCTTCATTGAACATTGTTCACAACTTCGCTGCCATGTTCACCAAGAAAACGGAGTCATTACACTTTACAGAATACTCTGTGAAGTGCTTTGGGACATTTCAATGTATTATGCTCTATGTATTATTTTATTGTAAAATGGGATTCAGAGAACTAAGTGTAACTTAGCATAACTTAAGGGTCTAGATCTTCTCCTCTATTTGCAATTTCTTGGAATAGAATGCAAGCAAACACTAAATGGACAATTTCCAGGTTGAGGCGTAAGTAGAATGTAGAGGTTTGGTGCTGGAATGGGCTGGAAACAGATTCTTTCCTGAAGCAAACAGACTAATAAAGGCATGACTGGCCTGTGCTGATTTTCTGTTATGTGTGTTCAAAAGAAGCAATCTCAGTAAAAAGATAAATTCAGTAATAATGCCCACTCTTTTGATAATGTTCTTTTCCAGTCAGCTACTAAACCTGCTCAGCACAATCTCCTCATTCCCACAGCAGAGACTCACCCAGGAAGCTGTCATCGTATTCAGCAGGAGCCACTCCAGTCTGCCTTTCTCCTTTCACTTTCCGTATCAAGGCTCTGAAGTCGTAGCCATCTAAAATCTCAACCACGCCGGCAGTAAACACCTGACCTGTACCCAAACACCAAAAATAAAAGTTGCCATTTAATTTACACTTGAGTATGCCTCATGGTGCATCACATCACAAATTTATTAACCAACTGACCAACAACTGGAACATGTGGCAGAATGATGATAATTGTATTTAGACATATTAATCCTGGAGCTTAGTGGTTAGAGCACTTGCCTCACAAGTGAAAGGACCTGGGTTCAATTTGCGGGCAGGCAGAAACAATAGGCAAGTTTCCTTACTCCACGTGACTCTGTTTACCTAACAGTAAGTAGGAACCCGATTGTCAATCGATTGGCAGATCGCTTTCTGGGGGTAATAATCCCTCCAAAAAATTAATTTGATAACTCAATCCACAACTGTTTGTGGGTCACTGCTGTGTGCAATTGGATGCCACATTCACCCATAAAATACAGTCACTATACAGTGTATCCTCTGAAGCACTTTGAGACGCCTCAAAGTCGTGATAAGGCACTATATCAAATGGAAGGATTATTATTATTATTATCTGCTCATTCTCTAAGTTTGAAGAACTTCACACTCTAATGGATTCCTGATATCCTTAAGTCTCTACTTTTATATTGTCCATAGTTCCCTAAAGCTGACGCTTCCTTATATGTCAATGCTTGCAGTAAACATTGTTGATGTCAATGGGGAAAATGAATGCAAACATGGGTTTAATCAATCCAAGTAAGGATTTGATGACAACCTACAGCTGTTCTCCTTAGATTCCTCAATCAAATTGGTTTAAGCAATCTGGAGTTAGTTCCAAGTGGACGCAAGCCCAAAGCTGAGACCTACCCAGGCGAATCGGAACTCACTCAAAAATTTAAATAATGCGAAACCCAAATAAACAGGACACATTTAAGGATTTCAGGGCACTATATTACAGGCTACTGACTAAAAGTACAGTACAGACATTTCATGGACAACAGTAAGGAAAATCAATGTTAATCATGGACTATATCTGAGCCCGATGAGAGTCTCTCACTTCCTTGGGATTCACTCTGACACAGGCTGTTTTCATTCAGTACTTTATTTGGTGCAGCAGAAACACTAACACGTTAGTTTTATCCTACGTATTGGCAATTATTTTAAAACTGGCTTAGACTCATACATGTGTAAATACCTCAAACTGTTATTTTTTTAAAGGACACTGAGAATTGCTAAATTGTTTACAAACTGTTTGCTACTAGGCTGAAGCCATCACGTGAACCACGAAAACTGTGAAAGTTACTGTTATATGACCTATCTATCATTTATAATAATCCTTGCCTTTGAGGCATTTTGATGACGTGACCAGGCACTTGTGAAGTGCTTCACAAGATTTATTCTAGGCGAAAATAGCAACTAATTTGCACGCAATGTCCTAAATAGCCATGAAGTGAGTCATCAATTTTAACTGGAGGATTGTTGGCCAGCACACCGAGAGAAACTTCTTTTCTCTTTTTGAATTGTGCCATGGGGCTTTAAATGTGAACTCAACTGGCAGATGGGACCCCAGCTTAGTCTCATCTGAAATATGGCACCTCCAAAAATGCAGGGATCCCTCAGAACTACACTCTATTGTCAGCCTAGACTAGGAGATCAAACTCCCAATGTAGGTTTTAAATCAATAACTTTCTCCGATTGGGTTTCCGTGCTGCCCAGAACACAGAAACAGCTCTGGTCAAAGTGACGAATGTCATTCCGTCCATCTGTAACCAGGGTTCCCTCTGCCTCCTCGTCCTCCTTGACCTCTCTGCTGCCTTCAATACCGTTGACCACTCTATCCCCATCCACTACCTCTCCTCTCACATCAATCTCCACAACTCTGTCCTTGACTGGTTCAGATCCTATCTTTCACACCATCTCCACTTCAACTCCACAAACGGCTTCTCCTCTAGCCCTGCACCATCTTGTGCGGTGTTCCTCAGAGCTCTGTCCTTGGTCCCCTCCTATTCAATATCTATATGCTCCCTGTTAGTGACATCATCCACAGACATAGGACATAGTTGTTTATGCGGATGATACCCAACTGTATCTCTCTGCCTCCACCCTTGACTCCAGGACCATTACTGTCCTGACAAAATGTCTGTCAGACATCAAGTCCTAGATGACAGCTAACTTTCTTCAGTTGAACGTCAACAAGAACAAGGTCCTCCTGGTTGGCTCCCATCAGCACTTACAGTCACCTTCTCCCTTCCCCTGGCTCAGCCTCGGGCTCCGTCATTGTTAAGCACTCTGAAACACCGCCAGGCGTGGAGGGTGCTATATAAATGCAAGTTGTTGTTGTCAGCTCACCTCAGGTGCTGACAGCATCACCATCCATGAATGCACACTCCACTTTATTAAGCCATTACGGAACCTTGGCATCTTCTTTGACCCTCAACTATCCTTTCTACCCCACATCCATGCCGTGACCCGCTCTGCCTTCCCCCCACCTCCACCATATCGCCCGGCTCCATCACTGTCTCACACCGCAGGCCACCGAGACCCTCATACACACATTCATAACATCCAAGCTTGACTATGCAAACTCCCTGCTTGTCGGTCTCCCCAACTCCTCCTGGTCCTCACCTTCAAAGCCCTCCATGGCCTTACTGCGACCTCCTAGCTCCCTACCAACTTGCCCGCTCCTTCTCCTCAGCCACTCTGCCTCCACCCTCTGGAACTCCATCCCGCAATCCCTCTGCCTCGCCCCCTCCCCTGTCTCCTTCAAGACCCATCTCAAGACCCTACTCTTTGAACGTGTTTTCGATCACCCGCCTTGTCCCCCTGCCCTTCACCCTCCCCAATCATGACCCCCAGCTCGGGGTCCAAAACACTGACTGTAAGATATCTTGGGATGTCCTCCCGACATGAAAGGCGCTATACGAATGTAATTTTGTTGTCATCGTATTTTGTTCTTCTGTCCCAACGGAGTTTGTTACTGACTACGTCTAACATTTGATACAATACAAATTTACATTTGTATAACAACTTTCACGTTGTGAGGACGTCCCAAGGTGGTTTAAGCACTCTGAGATGTTTGTGTGGAAGGGCGCTATATAAATGTAACCTGCTGTTGTTGTTGATAACAGTACTGGCTTGCCATCTAAATTGGGGGTGAGAAGCTGAGTAGGGTGGGGAGATGACTAAAAGCGAGGATGAACAGAGAGATCTTGAGATGGATCCTCAATGAGGTTAGGGAGAGAGTGAGCTGGAGGAACTTTGGGATAGAGCTCTAGACATTGGAGGCAGACAAGCCTGCTCACCAATCGTGGTGTGGGAGGGCAAGGAACCAGGAAGCAGGCTGACGCTTGCTGAGCAAAGGCAATGGCTGAGAGGGTAGTGTTTGAGGAGGTTAGGTGTTGTGGGATTATGAAGGGATTTAAAGGTGAGAATGAGGATGTTGAACTCGATGTGTTAGGGGAGTGGGAGACCATGGAGCTGAGTGAGTTTGGGTGGGTAGACTGATGCGTCCTGCAGGCACACAAAAAAAAATCTCCCTTGAAAATATATTTTAAGAGCTTCACAAAACTCGTCACATGTCAACAGGTTGTGATTATGCACTGGATGCAACACATAGCAAATAAAATCACGATGTTTTCATTTATTTATTAAAAAATGGGGTCATGATTTGACCTCCTTGAGTCTGTCAAATTTATCTTTTGTAGATGGTGAAAAAAGCACAAAAAGCTTTCAGGAAAGCGGAAGGAAATTGAAGGAGAAAGAAATGGTAAAGAAAAAATGTAAAAGCATATTTGGTGCATTAGGGACAAGGTGAGAGGATATATATAGCCTGTGAAGCAGCTTATGGAAATGGTTCTGTTTCCACTCAAAAAATTGTGAAGTTTAAAGGAACATTTTTTACCAGCACATTAATAAACATTCAAAGAATGTTAGTTGCAACAGATCTCACTAATGTCCATGTTGGACCATTTGAGACAGGAAAATATAGCTCAGATTTCTGTTCCAAATTGCTCTGGTGCTGGAAGTGGCAATACTTTACATCTAGCAGTAAAACCCAAGAGCAAAGCCATAGTGATTCATACTTCACTTGAATGACCTTGGATGACCCTATAAATGCACGATTAAAGATTTTCTTAAATCCAATTAACCACCTTAGCATTGTAAAAAGATTTGTAGCATCTCTGCTTAAGCACAGCATATGGTGGTGAGTCTTGTTTTATCCTTTTGCTTAAACATGATGTTTGATCAGTGTCAAAAACAATTAGTTATGTGCCTGGGAAGATCACCTAATCAATGTGTAAGCGTGGCTCAGTTTGTAGCACTCTTGTCTCTGAGTCAAATGGTTGTGGATTCAAGCCGTATGTTGGGACGTTGAGCTCCTAGTCTAGGCTGACACCTCAATGCAGTGATACATTTTGAAACATCTTACCTGATACTATATCAAATGCAAGATTTACTGTTATTAATGCAACAACAAAATGACATTTGTATACAACAACATTTGTACAAAATTACATTGGTATAGCCCCTTTCACTTTGGGGGGACATCCCTTACATATTGCATATGATTCTAACTCCTGTTTATTAGTATTTTTTGCCTATAAATATCCCAGCAGCTGTTAAAGCACAGCTGGAATGCTGAATGTGGACACTTGACTAGAAATACTGATGACTAAATTATTCTCAATCAAATCAGAAGATTTTCGTTAAAATAATGAATCCATTTTTATCCACAACTTTGCTATAGCCTCTTGAACTAACCTCTTTGGTCTCATTTTGGGAGTTATTGATTTACAGGCAAAAAATAAATCTATACTAATAACAAGCACCCACATCAATCAATAATAAAGTCTCAATCACATTACACCCTTTAAGTACCTTGAAGTCTGACTGACCAACTGCCGTGTTAAACTAATGACAACCTTGTGCTTCTGAGATAGTATTGTCACATATTTTGTTCTTTGCTCTGCTCTTACAGTAAATCCATTAAACCCATGACTGATTTACCTTGCCAGTAAAAGCTGCCAGGTCCTCCCAGCACCAGGTTCCCATCCTGTGCAAAAGATATGTTTAAACCAAGGTTAAAAAGAAATACACCAAACAATACAATACAAGACAAATTTACATTTATAAAACGCCTTTCACGTTGAGAGGAAGTGTCGAGGATCTTGACAATCATGGTTTTGATACCGAGCTTGGGGGCGGAAGGGATGGGAAAGAGACTGAAAGCGTAGTCAAAGTGTTGAGGAGCACCTCCAACGAGGTGAGGGACAGAGCGAATCGGTGGGTGTGAAAATTCCACACATTGATGAATATGTGATGAAGAGACAAAGAAACAGAATGTTTTAAAAAAGCAAATGTAATTTAACTGAGAGCAGGATTAACTCTAACAAAAAGTAGCTGAAGAGTAATGATAATCCCGACTGTAAAGGATCATTGCATTTAGGCCCACTAGAATGATACAATAGGTTAAGTGTTCTTTCTGTTATAAAGCACCCAGGGGAAGCGAGCAGCAATATAATCTTTCACACAAGGTATCAAAACCCCCACACTTGTAGCAGGATTCTTAGTGACATATTTTAAGAGTTACATGCTTTTTCTATTTGCACTGGCTCACTTGTTGCAAAAGATATGTCTAGCACTGGGGTCAAGGAATGATGAAAAGTCGTGAATCAAGTGGGAAACATAGGACATGGACACGTAAGCTGCTGAGATTGCCCCTGGCACTCCTCCCGCCATCTTCTCTTTAAAGTTTCATATACGGTTGTTTCATGGACATTGAAAACTTGCAGTATGTGATTTCATTCTCTATCCGCTCACTTTATTTACTACAGGGAGGTACAATAGCTACCAATTTCACACTCTGTCATAAAATGTTCCACTTTATTTTCAGTTAAGATGTTCATCCCCAGACGAAGAGAAAACGAATCCTTCTGTGCAGCTTTGAATGAATGCACTCAGAACGATTCTAATTTGTTCCGAAGCTAAATTGGATACACACGGCACCCGGCTAACAACTCTGCTGTTCGATGATCTGCATGAGTTCCTACTAAGTGAGTTTGTACATAAGATTGATTGTTAGAGGGAGCAAACCATTCAAGCCGACTTGTTAGAAAGCACCTGTTTTGTCCCCAGAACCCCATCATATATCTGCTTGACTTCATTGCCAGATAGTGGACAAGCTTACGTGTGTGTGTGTATGTACGTATACATACACACACACACAGAGCAAATATATATACATATAATATAACATATATATATAAATAATAGGGAGAATTTCCACCTGCCTCTACATTTACTTTATTTATGCAGTGTTTTAGATCGCCCAGAATTTGGCAACTTCATAAATACAGCTATCATTTGAAGTAGGTTTTCTTCAAATTCCTCTTAAGATTTACAAAAAACTGACATTAAGTTAAGCCTGATTTCACCAAATTGCCAAATTCTGAGCACTCTGAAATGCTGCATAAATTGAGTAAATCTATACCCGGGTGGAATTTCTCCCAAGAAATTTGCCAGAATTTTTTTTCTTGTCAGCTGGGACGCATCCTGCTTACCCAAGTATCAGGTGCAATTTGGCAAGAGCCAAGGCTTGTGGACCCCAAGTGTTGGGGTACTTTTGAATCTAACTAACTAAAATCGCATAGCTTACCATTGATATTGCCATCTGGCAAGCTTCCCCACTGCTTGTCCAGCTAGGACCACCTTCCCCGTTAGGGATTTGGCTTGCAGCCCTACTCACAGACACCATAAACCTCTCCCTGTCCATTGGTACCATCCCACCCATTTAAAAATGGTCATCACTCCTATCCTCAAAAAACCCTCCCTGGACCCATTCCTGCTCTCAAACTACCGCCCCATCTCAAACCTCCCTTTCCTCTCCAAGGTGCTAGAACGAGTCGTTGCTTCCCAGTTTTGCTCCTTCCTCTCCTGCCACTCCCTTCATGAACCCCTCCAATCGGGTTTCCGTGCCACCCACAGCACAGAAACCACCCTGATCAAAGTGACAAATGATACTCTGCCCATCTGCGAGCAGGGTTCCTTCTGCCTCCTCGTCGTCCTTGACCTCTCTGCTACCTTTGACACCGTTGACCACTCTATCCTCATCCACCACCGCTCCTCTCATCTCAACCTTCACGGCTCTGTCCTCGATTGGTTCAGATCGTACCTCTCACACCGCCTGCACTTTATCTCCTCAAACGGCATCTCCTCTAGCCCCCGGACCGTCTCGTGCAGCGTTCCTTAGGGCTCTGTCGTTGGTCCCCTCCTGTTCAATATCTATATGCTCCCTCTTGGTGACGTCATCCGCAGATATGGGGTCAACGTCCACATGTATGCGGGTGACAGCCAACTCTACCTCTCTGCCTCCACCCTTGACTCCAGAACCACTGCTCTGCTGACAGAATATCTGTCGGACATCAAGTCCTGGATGAGAGCGAACTTTCTTCAGTTGAACGTCAGCAAGGCCAAGGCTCTCCTGATTGGCTTCCGTTAGCACCTCCACACCTCAGGAGCTGACAGCATCACCATCCATGGATGCACACTCCACCTTGCTAAGCCAGTCCAGAACCTTGAGGTCTTGTTTGACCCTCAACTATCCTTTTTACCCCAAATCTGTGCCTTAACCGGCTCTGCCTTCCCCCACCTCCACAATATTGCCTGACTCCGCCACTGTCTCACACCACAGGCCGCCAAAATCCTCACACACACATTCATAACATCCAGGCTTGACTATGCAAACTCCCTCCTTGTCGTCTTCCCCAACTCCTCCCTCTATAGGTTGCAGATCATCCAGAACTCTGCAGCCTGTGTCCTCTCCCACACCAGGCTCCATGACTCTATCACCTCATCCTCGCCCAACTCCACTGGCTTCCCATCACACAGAAGATACAGTTCAATATCCTGGTCCTCACCATCAAAGCCCTCCATGGCCTAACTCCCCCCTTACCTCTGCGACCTCCTAATCCCCTACCAACCTGCCCGCTCCCTCTGCTCAGCGGGTTCCGGCTTGCTTCATGTCCACCGTCCCGCCTGCCGCACTATTGGTGGGCGGGCCTTCAGCCATTCTGCCCCCACCCTCTGGATGTCTATCCTGCAGTCCCTCCGCCTTGTCCCCTCCCTTGCCACCTTCAAGACCTATCGCAAGACCCTCCTCTTCGACCGTGCTTTCGATCACCCTCCTTCACCCCTGCCCTCCACAATCCAGATCCCCAGCTCGGGTCCGAAACACTGACTGTCCAGTGTCTTGGTAGGTCCTCCTGATGTGAAAGACGCTATACAAATGTAATTTTGTTATTGTTGTAGGGCTAATAGGAGCTGAGTGGAATGACTCACTGCCCCCAGTGACTCTTACAATATGTCACTTCAAATCCTGCCACAAGTATACGGGCTTTGATACCTCGTGTGAAAGATTATATTACTGCTCACCTCCCCTGGGTGCTTTATAACAGAAAGAACACTTAACCTATTGTATCATTCTAGTGGGTCTAAATGCAATAATCCTTTACAGCCAGGATTATCATTACTATTTAGTTACTTTTGTTAGAGTTAATCCTGCTCTCAATTAAGTTGTATTTGCTTTTTTAAAATCATTCAAACCCAGGTCCTCTTGCTTGAAAGGTGAGTACACTACCTGCTATGCTACGGAACTCCACATGGAGGAGAGAGTAGGGGCAGAGAATCTGCCCACTCAGTTCTGTTAACCCTGTGAGATAATCCATAATGTTGATAGTAAACCTACCTGGACAAGCAGCAGAATGCTTGCCAGACAGTGCTCTCGATAGCAAGTTGAACGTTTTCAACTGGTTAAATTCCATCAGCATCCCAACGCAAACCTTGGCGCTTGCCAATCTGCGCCTAATACTTTGTTAATTAATTAAGGTGCATCCTACCATGGAAGGAATATGGCATTCCACTCCAAACACAGGAACATTTCCACATGTAGGTGATATACATATGTGGAATCCTCAGCTTGGTTTGGATACTCTTAAGCATGGTGATAGGTTTATGTGTGTGTCAGACACCAGGCTCACCAAAAAATGCTTTTTCAGAATTTCTTTTAACTTATTATCAGGAATAGGTTATCAGCAGTTCCTAAACGATAGTAACTGGGTAAAGAATGAGGATAGTTGGTTCTTTTGTTGCTTTCTGCATCATGCTGGTCAACCGCCCACCACAAATTAATCAGGGCGACTGAAATGAGTGATATGGTCCTTTTCTCAGCAAAGATATCTCCTTTGTTCAATATACATTCTGCAGAATCTGGAGTTATTCATAGGAATGTAAGTAATTGTAGGAACAGGAAATAAAAGCATATGGCTCATCGAGATATTCAGATTTTTTCAAACCCCAGCTTCCTGCTCTATCCCACCCTGATTTCTGTGCTTTGAGATTGTTTCCTTTACCTACTCTAACAGAAAGTATCCAGGAAAACTTTGACCCACTTACCTGAGTGAAATCAAGGCTGAATCCTGCTTGGCAGACCCCTTGGCCTTCGGGATCCGCATTATCTGCAATAGGTATAGAACATACATTAAAAGGTAATCCTTGTATCTATGGACTGTCCATGACTGGTCTGTGGGGTGTGAGTGTAAATACACGGAGTCCTGTAGCTCAGTGGTTAGAGCACTCGCTTTGCAAGCGAGAGACCTGAGTTCAATTCCAGGCAGGACGAAACCTTGGGCAAGTTTCCTTACTCCACACTCCTAATAATAATCCCTCCAAAACCAAAAACAATAATAAATTGGTCATTTTCAATCTACGACTGTTTGTGGGACATTGCTGTGCGCAATTGGCTGCCGCGTTCACCCACAAATATACAGTCAATTCACTTTACAGTGTGTTCTGTGAAACGCTTTGGGACGTCCTCCCAACGTGAAAAGCGCTTTATCAAATGCAAGGATTATTATTATTATTATTAAATGGTGTGTGGGGCTTCAAGGAAAACTTCAGATGACTTTAACTGAATGGTTGAGCCTGGAGGCAAATCGAAAAATCCACTAACGCCACTGTTACTATTAGTGATTACGTCGCCATTGTTGCCATTTGTGCAGAGTAGTGTTTCAATGCTGCTTCACAAGGCCCCAGCTTCAGTTTAAGATGGTGGACAAGTGTTAATCAGTAATGGTGGGCCAGTATTAATTACAGTAATAATAATAATCCTTACATTTGGTTTAGCCTTTCATGTCAGGAGGGCATCCCAAAGTGCATCACAGGATTTATAATAATAATCCTTGCATTGGATATAGCATCTTATCACGTCTTCGAGACATCTCAAATCACTTCACAAAATATACTGCAAAGTCAATTGACTGTATATTTTGTGGACTCCACCTCCATTTCAGGTGCAAATTTACTGTAACGTGTACTGACTGTGTTTTTGTGAGTGAGTTAACCAGAAATGGTGATTCAGTGTTAACCTATGGAAAATGAGTTTCTGGGTTCTTTTATCCTCTGATAAATGGCTATCAAACAGTTCTCCATTTGGTTACAGCTTAACTGAGATGTGGATAAGTTTGTAATTAGGTCCAGACTAGAATTCAAACTCTACCGGTCAAACATCACATGCAGTGAACTGCCTCTGTAATTTGGTTGACACGTTTGTCTTTTTAACCTAACAGCATGTGAAGTACTGCTCTTTACATCTAAGTGTTGAAGGGCACTAGACCATTCCTGGCATTTATGTTATGTATATAAACATGGAAGTAACTCCTTCATACTGACTGCTGCAAAATATATTCAAGCAGACCATAAAGGGTTCCGCCACCCGATTAGGAATGTTTATAGCAAGTTCTGTTGCTGGAACAGCCAGGTTTAATGAGTTTACATCAAAGACACCCCTCGGTGACTGTTGAAGGAGAGTTTTCATTGTAACTGATTATCTGCTTCCATGTGGGCATCTTTGAAAGGGGTTTTGACTGATTTTGTTAATTGTAGGGCAAGATTCTAAAACAATAAACACTGCAATTGTCTCATTTACAACATTAGATTTGCATGCAAAATACACAATAATAATAATAATAATCCTTGCATTTGATATAGCGATTTTCTTGTCGACATCTCAAAGTGCTTCACAAAATAGACTGTAAAGTGAATTGACCGTATATTTGTGGGCGAAACAATCACTGCACTTTACAGTAAACCCTGTTAAGCACTTTGGGCCGTCCTCCCAAAGTGGAAGGCATGATATCAAATACACAGCTTATTATTATTTATTATATGTACCAAATATTTGCCAGTATGTTAAAGGTCTTAAATGATAATTTAAGATGAGGGCAATGCTGGTTTATGATTTTGGTATGAAATTAATTTGTAAATATTTAATTCATTTTTCACTCTAAATGACAAGTTTCTTTTTATAAAGCATCTGTCGAGAAGATGTGAAAAGCGCTATATCAAATGCAAGGATTATTATTATTATTGTGTGTTTTGTGGAGTCCTGTAGCTCAGTGGTTAGAGCACTCGCCTGGCAAGCGAGAGACCTGGGTTCAATTCCAGGCAGGTCAGGGCAAAACCTTGGGCAAGTTTCCTTACTCCACACGCATAATAATAATCCCTCCAAAACAAAAACAATAATAAATTGGTCATTTTCAATCCACGACTGTTTGTGGGACACTGCTGTGCACAATTGGCTGCCGTGTTTCGCCCACAAATATACAGTCAATTCACATTACAGCATATTCTGTGAAGCGCTTTGAAACGTCGAGAAGACGTGAAAAGCGCTATATTAAATGCAAGAAATATTATTATTATTATATTATCTAGAACTCTGGAACGTATTCAGTCATTTACTGGAGCCCACTTGGGAATGCACGATTCTGAACTTCACACACAATGTTGTGGATTAAATATAAGAAAGGAAACAGGGAATGCCATTCCATACCAGTCATCAAAAACAATTTTAAGCCACAGTCTTTATCTGAAAATATCACATATTTTCCTCACATGAGTCCCTGAACATCTTTACCATAGCCACAGGCATTTTCAAATAACAAGTGAAAAAAAATCTCACAATACATGTGTCACCAAGGTAAAATACACAGTCAATCCACTTTACAATACATTCTGCGTAGTGCTTTGAGACACCTCAACGATGTGATAAAGCTCTATGTCAAATGCAAGGATGGCCTGACAAAACAGATTTAATAAACAGATACATAACAACAACAGCAATAAGCAAAAATGTAAACAGTATAAATTATGTGAAATAAGCATTAACGTTTACTCTCTTATTCATCTTACCAGAACGGCAAGGAGAATATTCTGCGTAGGTGCTGAAATTCTGAACTGCCACATAACAGGTGCCAACTGGGTCTTTCTCTTGAGTTACCTTAAGGGCTCTCCAATGATATAGCGGAGCACAAGCCTATTAAAAAAAATTAAACCAGAGTCGGCAATTAATGTCTGCACTTTAAATCCAACAGATTGTCCCTTCCCTTGCCAAATCACTACACTGAGTAAGCGCAACTTAATTTGTATCGTACAATGTCTTGGCTGAAATCTTTTATTATGTCCCCATCGAGACAAAGCAATTGGAATCTTAAACCATGTAAAATGTATACCACAGCTTTCCACATAGAATCACTTACAACAATATGGCACAGATACAGGCCAATCGGCCCAACTAGTCCGTGCCAGTGTTTATTCTCCACTTTCTCCACTATTCCTTTCTCCTATACCCTTCTATTCCATTTTCCCTCATATTTGCATTACATTCCCTCTTAAATACTTTGACGGCTTTTGCTTCATTGGTGAAGTGGATTTCACAATTCTTTTCAAATCGGAAAAAATATAAAAGAGGATGGGAAAAAGGCAGGAAGTGGGTTAAATGGTTCTCTCTTCCACAGAGAACATGCACAGGCACAATGGGCTCAGTGGCCTTCTGTACTGAAAAAATATCTGATTTCTGCTCATACTTCTTACTGTTAAAAAGAGATATTGTACACTTTTTGGAATTATTCACTGCTTACTTAAAATTCCTACCATGGGAAATAGATACACTATCATTTAACATTTGGCTCTTGTAATTCACTGGTGACTACTTCATTCAGAGGTAATTACCTCATTCCCTAATTTTAGATGTTTTGTAGGGCCCACTGCTTCTGAGCAGAGTCCTTAGACATTTCATGGAAGTTTCGTTTTGGCCGGCCAAGTGTCTGACACACGCAGAAACCCATCACCATGCTTAAGGGTATCCAGAACAAACTGGTGAGAGTCTGTTTGTCTGGTATGGAGTGTGCATTATGTCCCTGGAGGGACAAACTCTGCTTACCTAATCCTGGAAAGTTTAGGCACAGATTGCCAAGAGTCGAGATGAGGGGAACCACAGAGGCCCCAGATACTGCTGGAATTTAATCTGCTAAAATCACACAACTTGTACATTGGCAAGCTTCCAGGCTATCCAAGCTTGTCTGGGGCCACTCCACCCTTTAGGGGCTTTGGCTTGCAGGGTTAACAGAAGCCCTGCCCCCAATGACTGGTCTACTCCTTCAAATCTTGGTGATGAGCCAGACTGTTTGGTCTGTGATCAACAGTGTCTTGGTGTACTTGGACCTGTCTGGCTCAAGAGGCAGAGTACAGAGATAGTTACATGGGGATGATGTCGTAAAGTTTGCCCTCATTCTTGTCTGTTTGTCAAAAAAAAACTTGAAAATAAATTGAAAGTTTATTTGTAAATATTAAATGAAATGACAACTGAACACTTAGTTACCTGTCTGGTTCACAATTTTTCCCTAATGGACATAAAAGCATATCCCACCGGCAAAACTACTGTTTCCCTTATGACAACTTAACAAAGAAAAAAAACATGGTTTATAAACACATCAAGCGTGTGCAACACTAAAATAAATCTGCTTATAACATATATCCTTATTTCCTACCCCCATGCTGTTTATCCAACTAGGATACAAATTCTAATTCTTTGAACAGCTCCATGAAGCAGGATGTTGTAATTTAAGAAGATCTAAACATTTACCACAACTTTTTCGTTATAGGATCTGACTGTTGCCCCAAACCACTGATTGGATTTGAATTCAACGGGTTCTTGGGTGATTTTGATCTTTCGGTTACCTAATATTTAAGAGAAAAAAAAGAATAATTTCCACTCATTCTCAAATGCTTCCAACTCCACACTTCTTTGACATTCAGCAAAACCATTTAAATCATTGCAACGTCCTGAGGTATGGTTCTTTTCGACAATTTTAGGCTATTCATAAGGGTATGTTGCATAGTTAGCTTAAATTGTAATTATCCTTTTATTTTGTTACAATGTACATTTCTGTGTTTGTAAGGCAAGGCTCTCTTACTGTGAATACCCTATTTTATGAAAGACAACTGAACAAAAGCATATTTTTCCGCAACTCAATAACCACTTTATATTATTGTACTTTATTGCACTGTTGCTTCATATGGCACTGTGCAGTTCATTCCTGCAAATCATTATGATATCAGGATGTTTTCCACTTACACCATTGTTAATATTCCCCATTAAAAATACCTGTATTGAAACATTAAATGACAAGAAAAAAAAACTGCAAAACACCATTGTCTACAAAATTTTCGCCAACAGCATGTGCCTCACTCTAATCGCTTTTAAGAAAGTAAAAACTAGTTGATTTAATTATATGTACACACACCCGGAGACATCGCTCTAACTTTGTTTAACATATACTTCGCAGATGTCAACATAAAAGGAACCATCTGGTTAAAAACTCAACTCCAATTATGATGCTTTTCAGCCTTTAATAAAAAGCAGACAGTTCCTCACCCCCACTCTTTTTTGAAGCAAACTGATTTCCCACATGTTCGCCCTCCCCAATTTCACTCCCCACCGTGAACTCTTTTTGAATCGTTAACCAGAAGGAGTACACACTCCCCTTCCCTTGCTGCACAGTTTCTCTTCAAAATAGACAGTATGAAGTTATCAACAGATGTTAAATTCAATTTGAGGAGTGCGTACATTTCCACCAGTTCACAGCTATCAGAAATCACATCTCACAAATGCTGCTATTTCTGCAGTTCTTGGTATTGTTCCTCATTTAATTGAAAGGAGATGAGCATTTCATGAACTGTTTTGGTCTGCGTCATTGGATGAAACATTAAACCAAGATCTGTCTGTTTAGGTGGATGTCAAAAGATCCCGTGGCTCTACTCAAAAAGGAAGTTTGTCCTAGTCAACTATCCCCCTGATAAAATTGATCATTCACTTCATGGCAGTTAGTGGAACATTATTGTGTGGATATTGTTTGCAGTTACACAGTCTCTACACTTTACATTTAATTCTATGAAACATTTTGAAATGCTTTGACACAATAAGGTACTATATTGAAAGCAATGATTATATTATTTTTGTCTTCATATTTAATTAAAAAGATGGTTATTCATGAACTGTTCTGTTCGATTTTACTGTGCCAGCGAGCCTGAATGATTTTTGAAAGAGATACCTGATGATTCATCATCAATTATAGATGAAAAATTTCTAAACTATTTTGGTGTTCGTGTTTAATACATACTAATGAAAATACTTATTCAAGTTATTTTAAACTTTACATGTTTGTAATATTTTCAAACAAAATGTAACTTTTGAGTACACTCTTTAAGAGAAAACGGAAACATTAAGGGGTGGCAATGAAAAGTATTTAGAATATCAGGACAGCGTTTAAAAACAATGTTAACAAACAGATTGTATTGACAAACACTGGAAATGATTAATTGTATTACAATTCTTGTAGTTTACAGTAAACTAGCGCCTTGGGACGTCCTCCTGACGTGAAAGGCGCTTTATAAATGGAATCTTGTTGTTGTTGTTGTAAACTGATTTAATATGAGTGCTGCAGTTAAACAATTATTTCATACACCGAAGAAATCTTTTATACACTAATGATAATAATGATATTTGCATTTGATATACAGATTTTCATGTTATGAGGACATATCACAGTGTTTCAGAGGATATAATCTAAAGCGAATTTTGTCGGTGAATGACAGTAATCACAGTAAAATAAGATGTTAAAAGTATGCTGCCAAACTGTGGCATTGGATATTATATGCTTTAACTTAAATTGTCAGATATGATTACAGCAATAAACAATCACAGAATCATTCTTAAGAATTAAACTAATAAATAAGTTGGTAGCAATTGTGCCTGTGTCAGAAGGTTATTGTTTCAAGTCCCAAATTGAGACTTGAGTTCATAGACTCTGATGACATTAACGGAGATGCCATCCTTCTGATGAGACCCTAAACTCATTTGCCTCTTCGGGTAGATATTATAAATCCCATGATTCTACTTGGAAGGGAAAGGTGAGTGTCCTGACCAAAAATCCTCCAGAGAGAAAAGAGTCATATCCTGGGGATGGGGAATGTGCAGGTAAATGGGACTGAAAGGATTGCTCTTGAGGGGGCCACCATAGACATGAGTGCCTGAAAAGCCTTTTTTATGCCATAAATTTCTGTAGTTCTATAGATTAATTGGACATGTGGTTGTTTGTGGAGTTTTGTTACTGTTGCTTACAAAAAACAGCCACTACACTCGACAGTACCTTTAAGTTCTTAGTAAAAGTACACATTTTGAAGGAATGAAAAGGCAAGTTCTTCCTCTACCATACTTGGATACATTTTCTCCAACCAGTTAGTACAAGATCCAGATTTAAAATCCAGATTTAGTGCAAGATCCACATTTCAGTTTTACACAGCTGAATAATAAGTGTTATGATACAAAATGTGCGTAGTAATAGTGGTGTTTCTGCAGCAGCCGGATATGAACTGAAGTTATAAATAAAACAGTGCCATGTGACTTGCAGTTTTTCTCTCAGTTCTCTGGTGGCAAAGAAAGTTTATTCTTTAGCGAGTTAATTAGGTGGCTCTTTGAAGCTCAATAAAGGGGAATGTACAGACCTGTCAAGTGTCTAAACTGATTTATTTAGATTTTAAAAAGATGGATTTCACTTCCGCAAATAACACAACCCCATCCCTGCTTCTTAAACAATGTTGCTGGAAGTAATAATATACAAATAATAATCCCTTAAAGAAATAATAATAATAATTTGGGCACTCAATCCACGACTGTTGTGGGACACTCCTTTGTGTAATTGCCGATTGCATTTCGCCCACAAAATATACAGTGAATTAACTTTACAGTATATTCTGTGAAGCGTTTGAGACATCTTGAAGACATGATAAGGCACTATATCAAATGCAAAGATTATTATAATTAATACACACAGTATAGAAATGTGGTTACATAGGTTTAGTGATGCGTTTCACTAGTGACGATCCTATCTCTGAAGTTCACACCGTTGGGATTGTACAAGTGACAAAGCAAGAATGTCGCTAAGAGGCTTTAGAGCATCTTGGACACTTACTGCTTTTATCGAAGGGAATCTCGGTGCATGTGGTGCCTCCTGCTGGCCACTTGCAGTAATACACAGCTCCTCCTTCCACGATCCCCGGCTGAGAAGTGTTGGCTTTTGGGGCTCCTACCAGGACGTTCACTCTGGAGAGGAAAGATCTCCCACCATCACACCCACCATCACACCCACACACACCATCACACAACAACAACTTGGATTTGTATAGCACCCTCCACGCCCGATGGCATCTCAGAGCACTTAAATCAATACCCACACCAACACATCCCCACCATCACACACCATCACACATACCCTCACCATCACACCCCCACATACACACCATCACACCCACCATCACCCACGCACACCATCACATCCATACACATACCATCACAGCCACACACACCATCAGACACCTCATCACACATACCATCACATCCACTCATCATCACATCATCAGAAACCCCATCACACCCACACACACCATCAGACACCCCATCACACCCACACACCATCACACACACACACTCACACCATCAGACACCCCATCACACCCACACACACCATCAGACACCCCATCACACCCACACACACTCACACCATCAGGCACCCCAACCCCCCCCCACAGACACACCATCACACAACACCCCCCCCCTCCCCCCCCCCCCCCGACACACACACCATCACACACACAGAGAGAGAAAGAACACAGACACTGGAATGCAACACCATGAGAGTCCTTCACTATCAGAGGGCAACACACACACATCTCTGAACAACGTTGCTCCCCCCTTCCCCCTCCCCCCTCCCTCCTCACCCCCAGCATTTTAAAAGACACAATGTTAAATAAGACCACAGACAGTTTGCTCGGAATGATTTTGTTTCTCAAACGTTTCACATTGCTGTTATTATTATTATTATTATTATTATTATTATTATTATTATCATTATTATTATATTAACCACAAACATTAATCTGGGGTCTGTGTTGAAAGTTGGAGAGCGAAAAGCAAAGGTAAAAGGCTTTGCTTTAAGTTGTATTAACTGAAGGAGTAAGTGTTACTCACGTGCGGTGATCGGGGGAGTAGAAATCCACAGAGTATCCGAAGTAGCTGCCCCGGGGCCCGCTGTACAGGGTGGGGCTCTCGGTGTCCAGGTTAAAGGACACACACCCGGGGCTGAGCACCAGCAACAGGCACCCAAACAGGTACATCCCAGCCTGGCACCAGCCGCCAGCCACAGGCATGCTACAGCGGCCAGCAGGGCAAGCTGGGCAAGGCAGGGCTGGGCAGGGCAAGGCTGGGCAAGGCAGGGCTGGGCAAGCTGGGCAAGGTTGGGCAAGCTGGGCAAGGCTGGGCAAGCTGGGTAGGCAAGGCTGGGCAAGGCTGGGCAAGCTGGGTAGGCAAGGCTGGGCAAGGTTGGGCAAGCTGGGCAAGGCTGGGCAAGGCAAGGCTGGGCAAGGCAGGGCAAGCTGGGTAGGCAAGGCTGGGCAAGGCTGGGCAAGCTGGGCAAGGCTGGGCAAGGTTGGGCAAGCTGGGCAAGGCTGGGCAAGCTGGGTAGGCAAGGCTGGGCAAGGCAAGGCTGGGCAAGCTGGGCAAGGCTGGGCAAGGTTGGGCAAGCTGGGCAAGGCTGGGTAAGGCAAGGCTGGGCAAGGCAAGGCAAGGCTGGGCAAGCTGGGTAGGCAAGGCTGGGTAAGGCAAGGCTGGGCAAGGCAAGGCTGGGCAAGGCAAGGCTGGGCAAGGCAAGGCAAGGCAAGGCTGGGCAAGGCAAGGCTGGGCAAGGCAAGGCTGGGCAAGGCAAGGCTGGGCAAGGCAAGGCTGGGCAAGGCTGGGCAAGGGCAGCCACACACCACAACACAGCGAGTGTCAGTCAGTCAGTCAGTCAGTGTGAGCGGCACTGAGCGAGGCACTGGCACTGTCACACACACACACACACACAGTAAGTGCTGAGAGATGGGACCCCACAGGAGAGGCTCAACTCATCACTGCCCGTCACACTGCTCGGGACACACCCGGGGGGAGGGGTGTGTGTGTGGGGGTGTGAGAGAGAGAGAGAGTGTGAGCTGTGTCTGTGTTGGACCTGGAGATCTGTGTGTGTGAGGGAGACGGTGGGAGGGGGATGTCTGTTCGAGACCTCGAGGTTGGTATCCGCGAGAAAGTGAGATGTGTGTCTACATCAGACCTGCAGGTCAGTGTGGGAGTCTCTCTGGGTGAGCGTCCGTGATTCTGTGTAAATGATTTCTGTGTGTGTGTGTGTGTGTGTGTGTGTGTGTGTGAGAGAGGGAGAGAGGGAGAGATCTGAACAGTGGATGTGTGTATGAGTGAAACTGGGAGATAAGTGTGAATGGGAGAGACTGGGAGATCAGTGTGTGTGTGTGTGTGTAAGAGAGAGACTGGAAGATCAGTGTGTGTGTGTGTGTAAGAGAGAGACTGGAAGATCAGTGTGTGTGTGTGTGCAGGAGAGAGACTGGGAGATCAGTGTGTGTGTGTAGGAGAGAGACTGGGAGATCAGTGTGTGTGTGTGTGTGGGAGAGAGACTGGGAGATCAGTGTGTGTGTGTGGTAGAGAGACTGGGAGATCAGTGTGTGTGTGTGTGTAAGAGAGAGACTGGAGATCAGTGTGTGTGTGTGTGCAGGAGAGAGACTGGGAGATCAGTGTGTGTGTGTAGGAGAGAGACTGGGAGATCAGTGTGTGTGTGTGTGTGGGAGAGAGACTGGGAGATCAGTGTGTGTGTGTAGGAGAGAGACTGGGAGATCAGTGTGTGTGTGTGTGTGGGAGAGAGACTGGGAGATCAGTGTGTGTGTGCAGGAGAGAGACTGGGAGATCAGTGTGTGTGTGTAGGAGAGAGACTGGGAGATCAGTGTGTGTGTGTAGGAGAGAGACTGGGAGATCAGTGTGTGTGTGTGTAGGAGAGAGACTGGGAGATCAGTGTGTGTGTGTGTGCAGGAGAGAGACTGGGAGATCAGTGTGTGTGTGTGTGCAGGAGAGAGACTGGGAGATCAGTGTGTGTGTGTAGGAGAGAGACTGGGAGATCAGTGTGTGTGTGTGTGTGGGAGAGAGACTGGGAGATCAGTGTGTGTGTGTGTGTGTGTGTGTGTGTGTGTGTGTGTGTGGGAGAGAGACTGGGAGATCAGTGTGTGTGTGTGTGCAGGAGAGAGACTGGGAGATCAGTGTGTGTGTGTAGGAGAGAGACTGGGAGATCTGTGTGTGTGTGGAGAGAGACTGGGAGATCAGTGTGTGTGTGGAGGAGAGAGACTGGGAGATCAGTGTGTGTGTGTAGGAGAGAGACTGGGAGATCAGTGTGTGTGTGTGTGTGTGTGTGTGTAGGAGAGAGACTGGGAGATCAGTGTGTGTGTGTAGGAGAGAGACTGGGAGATCAGTGTGTGTGTGTGTGTAGGAGAGAGACTGGGAGATCAGTGTGTGTGGTGTGTAGGGGAGAGACTGGGAGATCAGTGTGTGTGTGTGTGCAGGAGAGAGACTGGGAGATCAGTGTGTGTGTGTGTGTGTGTGTGTGTAGGAGAGAGACTGGGAGATCAGTGTGTGTGTGTGTGTGTGTGTGTGTGTGGGAGAGAGACTGGGAGATCAGTGTGTGTGTGTGTGTGTGTGTGTAGGAGAGAGACTGGGAGATCAGTGTGTGTGTGTGTGTGTGGGAGAGAGACTGGGAGATCAGTGTGTGTGTGTGTGTGTGTGTGTGTGTGTAGGAGAGAGACTGGGAGATCAGTGTATGTGTGTGTGTGTAGGAGAGAGACTGGGAGATCAGTGTGTGTGTGTGTGTGTGTAGGAGAGAGACTGGGAGATCAGATTGTGTAAGAGTGAGCTGTGGGTTCTGTGTGTGTATCAAAAAGCAATTGGGAGTGTGTCTGAATGTGAGAGTTTGTTAGTTCTCTATGTGTGAGTGTGTGTGTGTGTGAGACAGAGAGAGAGCTCTGTCTGTGAATGGGAGGAATCCTGGAGCTGTGTGTGTGTGAGGGACCTGGAGCTGCCTGTGTCAGGGAGATCTGGAGCTGTCAGTCGACTTGTGGGCGATGTATCCTGGTTCACCTTCCTCTGGTCAGCGATGTGTTCACACGAGCAGCGCTGGGAGGAGGAGGAGGAGGAGGAGGGAGGAGGAGACGACTCCTTCAGCCTCCACACTCCTAGGGCGTCATTAACAACAACATCCAGCCTTTTATGGCATTAAACTTCACCCTCAAACAAGTGGACGCTGAACTATTTTGCAGGAAGTTCAGCGTTTGTTGCAAACAGAAGAGACATAAGGATGTGCTGGCCCTGAGCTGGAGTAACTGCACTGTGTGGTGCTTAAATTGTAGAGGGAAACCAGTGTTGTACTTAACTGAAGTACAATTTTACTCCATTTAAGTGACAGCTTTTATCGACTCGCCTTTATTCAAACTGAATGAACTTTATATTGAAACTGATGTGAAAAACGAAAAATGTTTTTAATTAGTGTACATAAGAACACAAGGGTCTATTTCCCTGCATTAGTGATTTTTTTTAAAATTAGGAAATTGGGAAGTGGGTATCTCCGACTAACCCAGGCTCCAATTCAAGTCACTAGGTGTCAGCCTGGCTCAGCTGGGAGCACTCTTGCCTCTGAGTCAGAAAGTTCTGGGTTCAAGCCCCACTTTGGGATGCTGAGGTCTGAGTCCAGGCTGTCACTCCAGGGCAGTGGTGGGGCTCCCTGCATTGCTAGAAGTCCAGTGCCTCAGATTGGATGTCAAACTCCCATCAGGTGGACATTCAAGATCCCATTGCCCTATTCCAAAAAAAAGAAGGGAGTCTCTCTGCTTATCCTGGCCAATAATCTGCCAGATAAAACTGATCATTCACTTCGTGGCTGTTATGTCCCTCAAATGGCCATGAAGTGTTTTGTCGCCTTGCGTGTTTGCCTGCAAAATGCACAGTCACTACACTTCACAGTAAATCCTGTAAAGCAGTTTGAGACATTTTGATGCCCTAAGGTGCCATATCAAATGCAATCATTAGATATACACTTGAGAGAAAAGGGAAGGGGTTAAGGAGTAGTGGAGATTCATGTAGAGTAAAAATACTGGCATGGACTCATTGGGCCAATTGGCTTGTTTCCTTGCTGGACAATCTATGCAAGTCTATATATTATCCTGTTTATGACACCATGATAATAATAACTCTTGCATTTGATACAGCACCTTATCACAGCTCCAGGAAGGCAGTACCTGGTTCATGAACAAATACTTATAGATTCAGCGATTGGTATTCACCTCGATTGGTATGGAGATAGCAGCTGCTGTACAAACTCTGCACTTCTAATTAGTCGAACCATCACTGAATGAGTAAGGAGCTTTGGTCAATTCTCTCACACATTTCATGTTGAGCTGGGTTCTCACCAGGAAGCTTGCAGGGAGTTCCTGGTACTCGCTATCCTGTGCTTGTTGCATATCAAGTGACTAACCTCGTTGGGGGAAGTAAGCGGGTTTCCTTGGGGCTGAGCTGGCTCTGAGATGATGTGCTTGACAATAAAATATCAGAATCTAATCAATCCTCTGTGGTAATCTCGGGGTCCCCAGGCTTTGACTTTCATCATCCTATGCCTAGTATTCTCTGGAATTAGGTAACCATGGTGCATCCCTCCAGGGAGAGAGGGCACATTCCATTCCAGACATAGGGAAATTTCCATGAAGTGGAAACAATGGATATTCTTAGGCATGCATATGTGAAACTTTCAGTCTGGTTTGGATATTCTTTAGCATGGTGATGGGTTTCTGAGTGTCAGAAAACCAGCTGACCAAAAAAGGAAAATGTCCATTTAAAATACTATAAAATGTCCCAAAACGCTGGATTTCTCTCCCTCAATCCTTACACCTTGCCTCCTCCTTTCCTATCTTAGGATCACATTTGAAGACCTTTGTCTTTGACTGTGCCTACAATCACCTCCCCCCTCTTCCAGGCTTGGCGTCAAGCTCCGCCACTGTTAACCACTCCAAGACACTACCCCTACCACTAGACACTACCACTACTTTCTGTCCTGAAATTGCTCTATGTAACTTGACAATCAGTTTTGTATATATTTAAGTGATATCCTCAACGTTCAAATAATATTCCCCAAGAGCTGTAAATATAAAACATATGATTCTCATGTTTATCTTATGGATGGTAAATGTACTATTTTTCTTCCTGTGTTTTTAGGAGCACATCTGGAGGGAGAGGATCTGATGATCCTGAATGCATGACTCTATATCATAGTGCATTGTTCTTC